TACGGCAGGCGCCACAATTTCCCATCTTTGACGACACGACACTCGATCCTTGAGGTTCAGGGCCCTCCATGCAGTCTGTGCTACATACTATACTTCCGTACCGTCCGGGTTTGACATCTTACGTCTAGATGCCTTCCGCGTATGCCATCACTCGGCGGTTAAGACGTCAAAACCGTTGCGCTGAGTTTCTTTCCGCTGGTACTCGTACTTTATCATGGACAAAAGAATGATCGGTTCTTTGATTTGCCGCCAACGAAGCAGGCAATTAAAGATAGATGACAAACACCGCACCACACCCCGCATTGATAGGCTGGCTCGGATCAAGCACAATAATGCGCCTATTTTCCGTACTTTCATAGGGGTCTAAATTGCTTTGGGATGCTTTTACGACGACCAATGAGTGCTCGACGACAGGGGGGGGGGGGGGGGGGGGCATTCCTGAGATGTGTGTTGATTTGAACGAGGTTTTCGGCTGGGCTAGACTGTCGAGACTGTGTCAGTCAGTAGGTACTTAGGTACTTACTAGAGTAAGATCTTACTGAGAGGCGTCGGGGCGCGCGCAACGGGCGTATCCAAACCGCTGTCGTTAGGTATATAGCGGCTGAACCAGTACCATCCTGTACCTTCGTAGGAGTCGTACTCCGTAGCTGTGGATCTTGCTCCCGCGTGTTCGCAGTACAGAAGGGGGGAGACCTCGGTATTTTGCCGGTATTCTAGCTTTAGCTTCATCGTTCTACTGTACGGAGTACTTGCTAAGTCTTGCTTCGGCCTACTGCGAACCATTCCCTCGGTGCATCTATCTGCTTTCCTTTTATACGAAGTAATTTAGCACCGCCGGAATTCTGCATGTACTTACTATATGTGCGCCACGCTTCCTGCACTGTAACTAGGTAACATCCAAAAATCTCTTTGTTCCCCGATACTGACTGAGTCTGGACTCTCTCTTCATTAGAACTGCTCGTACTGTAACGCGTTCTACGGAGTAAAGCCTCCACAATGTGGGGAGTAGCGTTGAAAACAGAAGCTTAACCCGGCTCTACATAATAAATAGCCCTGCCAATAGTTCATCCAAACATAGCTGTAAGGCTCCGCGATGGGAAGCCTTCAGCTCAGTCGTCTGAAGATTTCCACGTTCGTGCAGGCATAATATGCCAGTAGTATAGTGCCCGATTTCGATATTATTATGCACGCCATTCCCCTCTCAGCATCTAGAAACGGGCGCTGGGGAGAACAAGGTTGCTGAGCTTGGATCACTTTCATGCACCACTTCGAATTATCTAGGGGCGAGGACGAGTCAGGTCTGTGAGTTTGAATATCGAACGGCATTTCCTGTTTTGGCATGTGATTTGTCCCCCTCGTAGCGGGGCTGTAGTTTCCAGTTCTGTGGATTTTTGGATACACAAAGCTGCGTCTGCTTAATCTAGAGCCCTGAACATGACGCACAGGAAGGCGATTTGGCGTTCTAAACAATGTTAAGCACATGGCCGTCCACGGGATGAGACGCTGTTGTCGTGGCAGAATTTCCCAACAAAATCAACCTCCAAAAAGATCATCCAGATGGAACAAATACGCGGTCAATTCAAACGCAAGCGAGAGCCGTATCGTATTGTACTGTACGGATGGTTTTCCATCGGCGACTTTCTTCGAGACCCATGTCCGAGGATGAGCACGACCATTCCTGACAATTTCCCGTTCACAAAATCCAATGTCGCGGAGAATCATTACTCGAGTATTAAACACTATTGATTTGCAAGGGTCATAAGCATAAAGGCTCGAAGTTTTGCTTCAACATGGACTCTCAGACAGCCGTCACTGAGCATGTATTACATTAAGATTGAAATTGAGGTTTCTGGCTGGTTGAGAGCAGTTCGCATGCTGCAGTAAATAATGCAGGCGCCCGTCCAATGCTTCTCAACTACCATTTGGGGAAAATCAAGCCTCACGCCACGAGGCAGGAGCAGGGTAAGGAAATAATGACAGGAACATCTTCGAAAATAAGAGGGTGGAAAGAAATCGGACGCGGATCGCCCCATTATCACTTCCCAGATAAATCCCACAAGAAACAGAGACTTTACAGTAGGGCCACTTGGTGTATTGGCAATAGCGCAGACATAGGTAAATCCCTATGTCCACATCCAAAAACTTGAACTCTGGATCAGATCACATTGCGCACACTGACCTTGGGATGCCGCGCAGGGCTATCCGATCTGATCTCAAACCGGGGTTCGGCAAAGCACACAGCACCTCGATTTGCAAGTCGAGACGTGCTGCGTGTTTGATACGCCAATCCTGAGCTTGAATTGGGGAGAATATCGGTTTGATAGACCGTTTCTCCATCTTCTCAAAAGACGTTGTCCATCGCCCTTGAATTAAATACGAAAATAGTTCGTCTATTGCTGATTTGCTGAAGTCCTCACCCTCCATTACCATCTTGCATATTTAAACACACTGATCATTTTGCTACCCCATAAATTCGTAGCTTGACTTTGTAATCTGCAGTACATTAGTGCTGATAGAATTATAGATTGCATTGTTTGGCCCTATGCCTTTGCAAATCATCATTACATTTTTAATGATTGGCAAAAAGCACAGGCTTGAAGGTTTGGGACGAAAAGTCTGAGAACAACATTTCTGTATCTGAGCATGTATTGCTGTTGTTATATATCCCCGCACCTCTATTGTGAAAAGTGCTTTCGAGAACTCAAGAGCCTCTCTCTTGCCCTTCCCTCACTCCATTCTTGCGTTGTGGATATACGGACAAGTGGATTGATTACCTCTTATTCATCCCACCGCCAACCCCCAATTTCGACAAGGACGTTTCAAGGACAAAGGCTGCAGCGTCTAATTGCGCCCTGAAGTTATTCCTCAAGACCAACATCAAATTTCAAAAGCAGTAAGTACCGCCCCACGACCTTTGCACTTTACCCTTGTTTCTTGTACCCCGATTATTGTACCGTACGTACCACATTACACCCTCTTCCCGACCTCCCGTGTCAACTAGGCACGCGAGTAGCAAGACACACACCTCGGGTGGATTGTATTGCACTCACTGCGCCGTTGTCTAGGACATCTATGAGCCGGGGGCTGGCTATTGGAATACCTACCTGGTTCGATGTACTGTACTGGTATATATGTACTTCTGCACAATACAAGACAACACTACAGTATTGGTAGTAGTCGCTGCTGCAGCTGGCTATTTTCGCGGGTTCCAGCAAGCTGCCCGCCTGCAGGTGCAAGCTTATGCTCGCTCATCTGCTGGCTGATCGCCCACGCGGGCAAAGCCTGTGAGGCAAAGGTCCAACGGCGGGCCCCTGCTCGCCCTTGCTTGCCGCTGCTCTCGAGCTCTCACTCCTCGGGTGGACAATGAAGAGAAAAAAAAGTGGCAGCTCTCCTCTTCTTTTCCTTCTTCCCTTTCGTTCGACTGGTCGGGGCTAGCAACTCCTACCTAGGTACCTAGGTACCTCCGTAGCTACGGAGTACTACTCCTTCCTAGACCCGGGGCACCATGGCAGCCCAGCCCAGGGCAGGCATTGGCAGGGACTGAATCTCGGAGGACTAACAAAGTTTACAGGGGATACAGGGTAGCTTAAAAGATCCTGGAAGCTCCAACACCCCTACCTCCCGCGCCTACCTACACTAAAGTCTGCACGTCCCAGCGTCGAGGCAATCCCTGTACAGCGGGACCGTCCATTACGCTCGATCCACACATTCCAGAGTTAGAAAACCGCATCCAAAAACACCCCGTCGGCTGCCACTTGCCAGTAGAAGCTCGACCTCGACAGTAGTCATCTTCTACTCTCACCCACCACAACCTGCTACCTAAATACCAGATACCTACTACTAAAGTACTGCAAATCTCCGCCGCCTACCAACCAGCCTCAGAACGCTTGTAGTCTCCGCTGCCGGTATACAATTCCTCCGCATTTGCCTCGTCTTTCTGCTCTTGATAGCCCCGCCTACAGCCCGCTGGAATCTACTACACCACTACCAATTGCCTACGTACTGTACTGCCGACATTGTCTCCGAAGCAAGGCAAGAGCGAGGAGTCCAGAAACCTCAACCCCCGCCGTGCACCATCGGTTGGACCGTCCCGTTATCCTAATACAGGTAGCTACTGTACTGTTTATTACCCAACTCTTCCACGGCATACACACATTCATCCCAGATCTCTCAGAAGAATTGCACTGCACGCTATCAGCATCCTAGTTCAGCCTCACCCGTGCCAACGCCTACCGATACATACCTTATCCCTACATCTCTCCAGGACTATATATCTTCCTGAACACCATTTACCTCTCCGACTTGTAGCACAATTTGGCATCCTCTACCTTGCCCTTGTCAGAATATGCCAGATCCAAATCCGCTTTCTCTTGGCCACATTTGAACTCTATAGCCATTTCTTCGTCCGGAAACCAGTCCATAAGAGGCAGGCAACGTTGTTTAGTACGGCTTGAGTTGACGCCTGCTCCACTTGGAGGAAGTCGTCAAGTTCCTCAATATCTCAGGTCTGCCGGTCGAAAAAAGGACCTTGACGCATTTCGGATATTCCTTACACACGTCCGACAGATACGTTCTTTTCATCTGCAGCTCACCGAACACGTCAGTTCTTCACGAACATCCCGCAGCTGCAGTATTACCTACAATACCTCTTCTATCCGGTTCTGTCTCAGTCATTGTGGAACGAGGTCATTGATCACTTGAGAAGCACAACTTTTGCATCCTGAGACCGCACTGTTCCTTAGAACGGGTCTGTGTATAGGTTCGCTGCGGCTGTTGAGGGTAGTTATAGACCCCTTCCTGCCAGACCCCCATAAGATACTAAGCCTCCCAGGACACTTCCAAGTTCGCCGTGATATTGAAGCGCCTATAGAGCATGCTGTTTTCGAGTAAGAAAATACCCCGGCGAATTATACAAGACCCACCTAGACTTGGTGGGATCACTACAAGACCAAGAACAAGCTTTTTGAAGCAGCTACAGCGCCGTTGACCCGGTCCTTTCCATGCAATCCTCACCATCTTACCGCGATACCTCATACATTCCGCTCGGCGAACGGCGAGGAAGATCAGATCTGGCGCGCTTCTCTCTTGACACGAGTTGGGCTAGCGCGGTGTCCGACAGTGCTCGGTCGAGGGCATACCCGTCTCCTCCCATGTCAGGATCTCCGCCGCTTCCACCAAGACGAAACCCCGATTCAACGGATCGTGGTTACGGAAGCTATGGATCAAGCGGGCAAGACGTTTTGCCTGGGACTCAAACGCCTCAATCAGACACATCGGAGCCAAGAGGGCCACAGTTGAGGGCATATCAACCAGAGCAGCATCCTCAGCCATCGTATTCCACATATCGAATGGAGGATATACAACCAACACCACCACATTCTTACCAACAGCGGGGACCGCCAATTGTACCGCATATGGTGCAGCAGCAACATCCTTTGTATCAATCGCAGGCGCCGCAGCCTCCTGGGCAATTCTCAACGGCAGATCGACCACCAACGGGAGAGGTTGCCGATTATTCTGAATCACCCAAAGCACAGAGAAAGACAAAGGGACATGTGGCCTCGGCTTGTGTTCCCTGCAAAAGGGCGCATCTTAGGCAAGTCTCTCCGAATGGGGAACGTTCTGACCGCGTAGAGTTGAGGCTAATAGTATGCAGATGTGACGGTATGTGTGTTCCAACTCGAATTCATCTATTTTTGTTAGTTTGTTTTTGCCCCATTTTGCCCAATATCCATAACCGGCCATTGTTTGAGTGTATTTTGTTTTTTCGTCGAATTGCTGGCGTTGCTGCTCGTGGCTAGAATACTTGACCAATGTAGCACGGCAGCCCGTGTTGATTCAACGTGGTTTACATGAGGGGTTTTGAGACTATCGCGGCTCCCTGATTTATTACCCCGTCCGCTCTAGCGAGCGCAAAATCAAATTATCGCATGCACGGCGCTATCGCCTCGCCTCGCGTGCCGTAGCGCATTGGAGTGAGAGTGCGAGCGAGTGAGTGCGAGAAGGCGTCAACGAGGGGTAAGACTCGGCGACTCCGTCTGTTGGGACGCTGGCTGGTGATGTATCAGTTAACATGCATGGCTAGAAAGACAAAGATGGAGATTTTCACGGAATCCGGCCAAGGTTATGGGCCGATTGGTGGAACCCGGTCGGCGGGGTTTGCTTAGCGGTGGAGGATAAGGCGGGAGTGGGGAGTGAGAAGCAAGGGGCAAGCCAGGGGCAGTGAAGAGCAGAAGTTCGATATGCAATGCAACGCAACGCAATGCAAGTGCATAGACTGGGCTTCTGGGCTTCTATCCTTGGAAAGAATGTTCCATTTAATCTTCCATGGAATCCAAGGAAGAAGAAGAAGAAGCAGCGGTGTGCACCAATGTCGACGGCTACAGTAGCGAGATTGATGCCTCCGAGTCTGATTCTGTTCTGGGCCCGTTTCTTTTCGCCGTATACGAGGTGTTTCTGATTGGGCGCAGACAGGGCAATTGATCGATATCCGAATCATTGTGTCAGTCGTAAAAAGCACCATCAATCTTGCCCTCGGTCAGCTTCGTACAGCCCACTATTTTCCCTGCAAGTTCAGCGGATTCGTTTTGGGTCATGTTTTGAAATTTAGGAGTTGCCTCTTCGTTCTCGTATTAAGTTCTCGGGATTTTGCTGACTAGTTGGCTATAGCACAGCGCCCGTGCTCTCGCTGCCTAGCTAACGGGAAGGAGGATGCTTGTGTCGATGTACAACACAAGAAAAGAGGCCGGCCGCGATTGCGCGATGAAAGGGAACAACGTTACGAAAGCATGGGGCCGGGGTATTCTCACTCACAGCACGATGCTTCTGTCAGACGTCCTCTGTCCTTTCACTCCGCAGAACCTTCCATGACTCCAGCATTTGGCGGAGACTCACTTCATAGGTCGGGGTCTTATAGGGTCTTGAAATCTCAAGGTCCTCTTGCTCCCAGATATATGGATCATGCATCTTCTGTAGATGCCAATATGTTTGGTGGATCGATGCCACCAGCGCCGCGAATGCTGCCAGCCCACGAACCGCTATGTGCATATCTTACCATGGAGATGCAGATTGCAAAAGTTACTCGAAGCTTTGGTGACACTGTCGGTCTACAGGCCGTTGTTGGGAAAAGGCTTCAGGACATCATAGTCGCCAACGATCGTGAAAAGGTAATGCGACTCCAGAGGATTCTCGAAGACGAACGCCGCGCAAGAGAGCCGAGCTATCTCCCTCCAATCTTCTCAAAATACGAGGAAGATCGGATTATCAAATCTGTGGGGTTTGGGCCGGATGAGATTGGACAGCTGTTACTGGAGCATCAGGACTTGGTCATGTTCCAGGGGTCTGAAGGACAACACCAGCCGCTCCAGGCTCGGTTTGGGTTGGCGAAAAGGGAGTCGACATATTTTATTGCGGTGATATTTCAAGTACCTGCGACCCCGCAGACGTCCTATCAGCCGGTCGCTCGAGATTATCCTCGGGAGTCGCAATATGGATATCAGACGTCACAGCAGGCGTATCCTCCAGGCCCATCCTCTTTCGCTCCTAATCCTGTTTATGGTGACCCTCGCGGAGATTTGATGTATAGAGCTTCTGTCCCGAATGTTCCCATAGTATCAAGTATGCCGCCCTTCTCGCAGCCGCAAACAAGGCCGGATTATTCCCCCCAAAGCCAAAATCCTTATCAGACGCCACGGAGTGAATTGGCACAAGGACAACCACAGCGCCAACACGATCTCCAACTCCCTCCGATTCGAGATCACCGTGGGGAGGCATCTGCTGCAAATATGTCGCACCGACGAGATGATCGAACCGGCCGACTCGATATTGGCGGTCTTTTGGAGCAACCGCGCAACACAGGGGGTAGATGAAGTTGATCTGTGGTATGCTCACAGACCTCGACTTTCGCGATTGATGGTTTTCCCAAGCTCGTTTTGCTCATGCCTTCCAGGGCTTTCTGGCTATTAGAAGACGACGATTGAGAGAGAATACGATGGGTTCTCAAGGCAACCAGAGTGTGGTTGCTACCGCTGAATGGACCCTAATGATGACAGCTTCTTGTAGAATACTTGTTGGATGACAGATCCTTTTCGTGTCTTTGCGAGATACCACCATGTACAATATTTAGGCATTTTCCATCTGTTTCTAGCCGTCGCCGGCTCAGGCGCAACAACTCATATCGGCGTTCTGCATCGGGGGATAGTTTTGTTCTCGTTTATTTTTGGGCGCAAAAGGCAATCAGTCTTATGTACGATATGAGAAGAGACTATAATTGGCGTGATGGTTGAAAATTAAAGGTAGAAATGAAAAAGTAGCTTGGGTAGCCATGATGTTCTTTGTCTCTGGAGGTGATTGATTGATGTTGATGTTGTTTTGAGACAGACACGCTACCAGCTGTCTGCAATTTCGGCCCCTCCGTACTACCTGGTTCAACCAATCCAACCTTACCAGTTGCGCGCTGGATCGATCTTATTGGCACCAAATATAGATAGTATAGTGTAGGTAATCGATGGAATGGTGACGCGTTTAATGTTATAGGAATTCGTATTTGTTAATTTTGTAGGGAAAGGAGGAAGTAGGAAGAAGATGTGATATTTTAGGTTTCTCCAGGGTTGAGTTGAGTTCACGGTCCTTGGCTTGGCCCCCATACCAAGGCCAAGGTAGATAGATGGATGTCGTTTCAGGCTGGTGGGTGGTTGAAACAAAACACTGCCACTGCACTGGTGTTATTTGCGCGTTGCGCTTACTACACTACTGATATTTCTTGATGGTCTCTTGAATCTAGGTAGGTTACCTATTTAATACTGTAATATAATGTTTGCATTGTAATTAAGGTTGCTTTTTCCTCTCTACCGAGAATAGCTACTTTTAACTTGTAGGGAGGGGAGGATAAGGCGCTATCATTGGCTTATATACTCCGAGATGCATCTTGGAAAATGTCCGCATCGTGATTTGGACTTCCGTTACAGTACCCCACGCCTATAATACCTTAGGTGGTAGTAGTCGTAGTCTATGCCCGCATATCCCTGTAGGTGAGCCGTACCATTCTGCGGTGCGGTTGCGGTTCCGATCCCGACCCCTCATGGATGGAATGAGGGGAAGCTTCACCTCTCTCTATATGAGGTAGTAGGGCAGGTACATCATTTCACTCACTTCTGCTCAACTACAATCTCCTCGTACCTTTGTCATTGTTTCTGCGAGTGGCATTGCTGCAAATATAATACTGCCGGAGTAACTGGATCTATTATTTCTTACTACTTGCTACTTACTACTTACTACTTACTACTTGCTACTTGCTATTTATCAACGATTTGATCAAGTATCTACCTACCTATATAAAAGCAACAATGGCCGCATCAACAGCATCATCCACGTACCTAGCCTCCCAAACCGCTTCCTTAGAATCACAAGCCCCCGTTTCTCCCTCTCAAGCCCGCGCCGCCCAAAGTAATCAATCATTTTCTTTGCTTCACTTTACTTCGCCATCGCGCTGTGTTTGAAGTCCCTTGAAATAGCGTCCCGTCCCATTACTTCTCTCACCTCTTACCTATTCCATACCCCCCGAAGAAAACCAACTAACCATCCCCTCCCTCCAGTCCCCCTGAAAGACTTCAACCTTCCCACCTTCCCCGCCGAATCCTTCGCCGCAGCCCAAGCTCTCACGACGCTCATCCTAACCTCGGACATCAAACTCGACGACTACACACCCACGCTCACGCAGCCCTTCTCCGTCCCAACCCTCCCGCCCTCCATCACGACCCTCACGCTCGAGCTCTTCAGCCTCGGCTACCCACCCGGCTTCCTGCAAGCCCTCGGCGAAGCCCTGCCGAACCTGAAATCCCTCACGCTGTACTCCCAGCTGTTTGCCGGCACGACGCAGGACTCGCAGGACGATGCCGTGGCGTTTATCCAGGGGGCCACGGGCCTGAGGGAGCTGCATGTCCTGGATGTGTTTGCGCCGCCGGGAGTGTTTACGCGGATTGCGGGGGCATTGGCGCCGGGGCTGGCGTTCTTGGAGCTGTGCTATACGTATCGGCATTCGGACGCTGCAGGGTTCCTGGGGACGCTGCCTGTGAAGGAGGTAGGGGAGCTGGTGAGGGAGGGGTTGGTGGCTCTTACGGTGGGGATTGGGGCGCCGGATGCGGGGGCGGTGGAGGAGGTAGATGAGGAGGATGTGGAGGGGACGGAGGTGGGTGTTCGGCTTGTTGGGGGGGAGGAGCGAGGGGTGCGGTGAAGAGGGTGGTGGGTGGTGGGAAGGGGTTGGTTATGCTTGATGTGACGATGTTTGAGCTGCGGGTTGAGGAGGTGGAGGCGCTGCTGGGAGCGTGTGGGAACTTGAGGGTGTTCAGTGTGGCGGTTTTGTTGAGCGGTGGGTGGGATGCCGTGCTAGAGGTGATGAAGGGGAGGTTAGGGGGTGTAGAGGCCTTGGAGATTGTCGGGGTACCGGGGGATGAGTTTGTAGAGAAGTTGAAGGCGGGTGGGGTGGCGGGGTTGACGGAGGAGGTGTTGGGGAAGTTGGCCGAGGGTTCCAAGTTGAAGAGTGTGAAGACGAGTATTTTAAGGACGAATGCTGAGCATTGGGTGCAATATCAAGGATCATGGGAGAAAATGACTTGAAAATCTTTGGGTAGATAATAGGTACGTAGTCTAATAAAGTTGGTTAATCAAAGTAAACTTACCTACCTCTCTTGAGAGAAGTAAATGTCTTGATGGGAGTAGGTGATTAAAGATGAAAGACTCAAGTCATAGTCCTGTAGTGAAAACCCAACTGCGTGTATACTATTTGCAGTGGTGTCATCCACCCATTTGAAACCATCAACTCGAGTAGTCGCGTAGGTACTAGATGCATCCTAAACTTTTCGCTTAACAGAAAACCCCCCTTTTCAACTCCAAGAAGACTCGCCGAGGACAGAAAAAGGGACAGACAGGCACATTATAACATTCAAGCTCAATATCAACCAAGCACCTCACTGAGTGCCTGCCTTCTTTTCTATCCACCTCGCACCGAGCCGAGAAAGTGTAGTCAGTCGCAGTCGACGGAAAGTTTATAGCTATATTTCTTCTAATTCACTGCTTGCTCAATACCTACGTACGTAGGTACGGCCTTGCCGTTCAAAAAAATCCCTTAGAGTTATTCTAGACATGTACTGAAAAAATGACAGAGCATTGCTCGACAGCTGCGTAAATCTTCTCTTCTCTTTTCTTTTCTTTTCTTTTCTATACGAGTGAAACTAACAAAAATGTTGAAAAAAAGAAAGAAAGAAAGAAAGGTGGTTATTCATTCAGTACGCGCACTCCTACAGCATACCTCGCGACTCGAGGATCGCATGTCGAGTCCCCCTATCGCTGGACGAGGGAGGTCTAGGATAGGAAGAATGGCGAATTTGATAGCGATATTGCGGCTGTTGGGGAAATTAAAAGAAAGATGGAGGAAAGACCCGTCCGGCGTGTACGCTTTAGTCCCATCGCATCACATCACAGGACAGACAGAAAGAAAGAAAGAAAGAAAGTCCCGAGGATGATGCGAGAAAGAGAGGAAGGAATATTACGAGCTTGAGAGAATGTTTTTCAAGTAGAGAGAGATGTAATGTGATGTAATGTAGTCCGGTGATTAAGTTGAAGTATACTGTTTCCTACTTAGCTATTAAATCACGCTTGGAGATGAGGGGTCAGAGGGGGATATCAATAACATTAGGCATGCCAGCTGCCTAATCCAACCCATTATAAAATAAATAAATAAACCCAATAATAAATTTCAGGCAAAGTGTATTTCAGGCATCCTCTGAATCCGGAATAGATAACTGACTGAATCTCGTAACAAAACGTAGTAATGTACGGAGTAAGACACTAATAAATACACGGACGGGGTTTAATTCCTTCTTTTCACGCTCTAGTAACAAGATGAATGAACGAACGATGTTGATTGATTGACGTTGTATTATTATTGAGGGAATGAATAAAGGAAGGAAGGAACAAACACATCTAGTTCAACTGTTTGGGATATCATTAACACACAGTTCTATAACGCTAAAGGGAGTAGATGTAAGGGTTACTATTGAGCTACCTAGGGAGTAATACTGCAATCTGTAAACATGCCCGGATTTCGTAGTCTAGTCTGGGGAAGTGTTTTGGGCCTTTCGGTTGAATTAATATACATACGTACGTACGTCCCTTGCAGACCTATGCGAGATGGGTAGGGTAGGGTAGAAGGGCAGAGAGTTGATGGAAGGTGGGAAGGAAGTGTCAAGTCAGGTATCCTGTCTTTGTTTGCGAATGCTTAAGATTTTCAATGAAAATGTAAAGTAGTTACAGCCCTCCCTCCAAGTCTTATTTCTCACCGCAGTCTTGTCGAGATGTTTGAGAGTTACATGATGCGGTGAAACTTGATTGCTAATTCATGAGGCATACTATCCATCGGAACCTTGAACAAAAAAAGAACAGGGGCGACGGAGACATATTTGTACAATTTTCTAACATATCTTCATCATCTCTAGTACTGACACCCTCTATCATACAGATCATCACAATTTCGGCACCTTAATTGCTTAATCCAAAATCCCTCGATCCAGCGCCATCACGTCGCAACGTCCTGGATAACCCCCTTGGGCTTACTCGTACGCCAGTCGAAAGCGCCGGTGGTGGTGGGTGCTTGTAGTGATCTGTGTTCCCCTCCTTTACATCAACTGCTCCCGTCTCTGCACTAACCACACGCAAGATTACCGATCCTTGGGGATTCACAGTAGCAGACTTTGGCTGCACATATACTTTGCTGCCACCCACTTTATCGGGTTCAATGTTAACGAGCCCTGGAACCATTGGAGCAGGCATGGCTCCGCGGCCACGACCCCTGGTGGAAGACACCCTGAACGATTCATCGTTGAATGGAGTGCCGGTGACAAATCCACCGACTCCTAGATTCGTACTACCATGCAATGCACCTTTGGGCGAGATGATGCGTGCTTGGACGGGAGACTTGGATGACTGCGGGCCGAAAACAGGGTGATTGAATAGCGTTGAATTCGTCCGACTGTAGGCAAGGCCCGCGGATGGGTGTGTCTTCGGTGGTCCAGAGTCTCTATATGGTGAAGTAGAGACGGTGCTATCTTTTTCCAGAGAAGTTGAAATGTTTTCGAACATTGCATTGAATATCTCAGTAGGAGCGTTGACTGATGACGCAGGCGGGAGGTCTAGGAATGTGCGAATATGTCTGTAAAGCTCCGTCCAATCTTGGCGAAGAGATTTTACATAGTCCTTCAGCTGCTCATCAGTGACCTCAGCTTGAGGGTTAAGTTCCAGCTCATCTGCACCCTCCGAAGATGCTCGTTGTTCTCGACGTTCCTTTGCGAGTGCCACAGAGCAGGCGCCTCGCAGATATTCGTGGAAACCTTGCTTCCTTCTCCGAACCTCTTTCTGAACGTATTCATTAAATTCTCCCTGGGTCTGCCCCGCCAGCCAAGGGCCGCTGAATTTCCATCTTGCATCAATCTCTGTCGAACCTGTGCCCTCTCCGGTACCAGTTGTGTCAATTGCGTCTTCGAAAACGCTCCGAGCGCGGGAGTCGAGATGTGATTGTGTACTTTCTTTCAATTGGGGTGTTGTGAGCGGTATACCCATCTCGAGGAATTTTTGCAGTGACAGTGTATGATCTGCCGCAGAGCCAAACTCGGTGATATGTTCGAAGGTGTCCATTTTCTGAATTCGGAGCACGGGCGTCGAAGATTTGGTCGTCGAGCGAAGCGGCAAGGGTCGTTTCAACCCCCAATCGCCTTTCGCGAGTGATGATTGGGGAGTTGTAATGGACATATGAATCGGATGTGGGAGCGTAGAAGTATCGGAAGTATAGCCTCCTGTTGATGACATCTCGACGGCCGATCGTTGAAGTGGAGCTGGAATCGAAAAGACCCTTGATGCTCGTAGGAGAGCCCCACCGGGTGATACGCTTCTTGATGCCATTATGACTTGTTCGAGGTCACGACGTCGAGGTGACGCCCGGGTTATGAAGCTTGGGCAGCGGTGCCTGGCTGGCTGGGCGCATCCAGGATGTTCCTAAGGTGCTGCAATGCCAATGCCAATACCCCTGAAAATTCTCGCCCTTCTTCTTCCTTCCTGAAAGTTGTAGAATTGGATGTTGCGAAGGGATCGTTGGGCGTAGATGTTTGTCGTGTTGATGCATGGAGGTTGGTGAGGTGTGATAAATTTCGAGAAGCACGGGCCACATTCGGAGCTACCTTGAATCGCCCTTCTCCAGAGAGTCGGGGCGTCCATGTACACTTTGCTTCTAATTTTACTTCAAACAAAATATTTTCCAATCAAGTAACCCAAGCTTACTATGCAAACTACTTGTTATATTCTAGCATTATTAACCTGGTCTGAAATGGGACAACCTTGTCACTCTATCTTGCGTTGGCACCAAAGCGTGGCGATCTGAGAAGCTTTCTTTATACGACGAGTTCGCCTTGATCTTTGCATTTCTTTGATTTGTATATTCTCTTTAGGAATGAGAGGATTATCTCATACTCATCAAATCATCTCCTTCCACATTACATATTGATCATACTGTGTTGTACTATATCCCGTTCGTGGACCGCTAGGAGAAATACACTCTCTTACGCGCTACGGGAGAACTTGATGAATGGAACCGTGTCCATGTCTGCTTTCTCCAGAAGTATCTTGGGGTTAAAACTATTCAAAGTAGACTTGGGCATTCCGTGGACCTATGCGTTGAGCATTTGAACTTATTAGGGCAAGGACCTTGAAAGGATAGAACTTGAAGCTCAACCTACCAATCCTACTTTATACCCCTTGAGTATAGGCACTGAGTCTTTAAGTTTATGTCTCTAGGCTACCTAAGATGGAAATATACCAATCCATGTTTATACACGTGATCATACACGTGAGAGTGTTTTCTAGGATTTGCACGGCATCCTCCACCTGGTTTCACCGATTACTGATCGCTCTGGGAAAGTTTTCATTCCGCGTATACTTTTGTTTGTTGTCAATCGTTTCCTTGTACTTGTTGCTGCCGATTGAAGTTGAAGTGGCGAGTTCAAGTCGGATCATAAGTTAATGCCTCACGAAAAAAGGGCCGCGGCGCTCCCGTGGTTTGCGTGGGGGATACTAGTGATCAGCTTTGTGAATGAAGCGCAGGGTCGTATGAAATAATGAGTATAGAAAATGCGTAATGGAAGCTACTATGGAGAGAATAGTCCGCCTCCATACAATGTAGTACTCCTAGTCGGATCATCACCTGGGTTACATGTCACTCCGGTATGAGTGTATAGATGGATACATATGAGTTGATCAAACCTCCATTGCGCACATTGCAGCTTGTCATCACTAGCTGCAGTTGAACGAATGGATAAGCTTCCAGCTCATTACTCGCCGGTACCAATTCAGGGAGACATAGGTGCACATAATAGTTAGAAATTGAAAGTCTCAAGAGAAGGCTGAAGGCGGGGCGGGAGTCGAATTTCTTGAAATTGTTGTTCCAACCAAACAAGGTTTTACAAATCTGAGTTCAGTTTCCAACTTTCCAACGAGTTGGGCAGCAATAGAACTTGCCACATTCGATGAGCATTCAATCATCGGAAAAATCAGGAAGTCCTCAGATATTTGCCTGAAGGATTTGAAGGCCTGGAGCTGGCTCGGCGATCTCCACCGGCGCCTGCCACCATCAACGAATAAAACAGGAAGCTCGAGTTCTGGGGGCTTCCAATAATGAGTAATATTCGCGACAGAGAAACTCCCCGTAAAAAAGAGATATGAAGATTCGCGCTGTACCCCGCGACCCGGACAGGTTATGCCTTGCATATTCGAGACGTTCCACAGGCACGACGGCCGATGAGGTGAAGTCATGCGGCCTTTATGGACCTCTTACGGCGCCTCCAGGAACAATTACAATTACATCAAAAGAAGAGGCAATTGGGATTCCAGGAAGATCTGGTCGCTTATTGTACGGGTAAGACATTCAGCTTTCAAAATCCAACCAGAGACCAGTATCTAGATTTCAGAGGTCGCATTGTTCCCAGGCTTCCTTCGTCTTTTCCTATTACTTTTGGTAAGAACCAAGCATTCGACGCAAAAATGATAGGCTTGCGGGTACATTTAGAACGTATTCCGAGCCAGTTACAACGTGCCACAGAGCTGTCGCACTTTACGTATTTAGCCCGCAGCCTCGTCTGACCAATACAAACGCAACTCCACAGCATTGAAGGTTTTGAAATTGCCCTTCGATTACCCTTCAGTTGCCCGTTGAGTTTCTGTGCTATTTCGGTGCTCACTGAAAAGTCAACCTTGTAATGGCGCTTTCGAATTGTCTACGCGCCGAAAAGATAAGAAGGAAGGCAGCCGGGAGAAATGGAACACTGGCAACTAAGAAAGCGGGGAATAATGTACTCGTACTTCGTAAAGACAGAGCTTCGATCGATCTTCGATCACACGTAAGCATGACCTCCGACCAACAATGCAAAAATCCTAGTCACCCTTCTCGAGACCCCTCGTTGGTGGGGTTGAAACATGAAATACTATCGGTAGACAACTGGAGTGGTGTGATGGGTGGTGCAGGAGAGCTCCAATACCTGGGCATATCTTGAAGAGTCCGAGGGCCGCTAAACACATACAACGGTCGTTTAATAAGCCTCTCCTCTTCAGCGTTCTCTTCGGATTCAGCTTCCATACTTGCTTCCTATTGATGAGGCTGGTATGTCCGGCGCGGAAACCATGTCGCCCGGATGACACTGAGAAGTGAGAGATCAGAGACTAGAGCAATGAGTCGGGCATCACCAAGGCGTACGCTCGAGTGGCTTTGAAGTACCTAATGATTGAACCTCTCACAAAGTAGTCATGCTGGATGGATAGTGAGGTCGTGTTCCTCTGAAATTTGAGCGATGATGCGCAAGTACGTACCGATGCACAGGTAGGTCCTACGAGATTTGGTACGAAGTACTTGAGTAAGCAAAATCTTCGCAGTTGCTTGCACGAAATGTGTCATGGTACATATGAAGAGCTCGATCGGCCTTTGGCACTGCCTACTAGGGATTTGCAACGGATCCTCGCGCGTACGTCTGAGGTTCCTAACAAAACATTTCGCTCTTTCAGTTCGCAGATGGTGGATGCGATGAGCTTCCAGTGCGAGGCGAGGGCTAGGCCCGACCCAGAGGCTACCTTAGGTACAGTACAGGTACACAAGTGGTTCGCAACTTTCCAGAAAAGTCAAGAGGTGTGGATGGTGGCTGACGGCCCTGCAGTACTCGTACCTCAGCTCCCTGCCGTACTCCGTATGGACTTGCAACGAGTTGAATTCGAATTTGAAGCGCTGGCACTGCACCTTCGCCCCTCACTCCTCGCCCCTCGCCCCTGCAACCCTGTCCTGTCCTGTCTTGTACAAAATTGGCCTCCCGCGGCAGCGCAGGCTCTGCTCTGCACAATGGGATGGGCTGCATGTGCAAGCCAAGCCTGCAACCCCCATGCGCACGTTCCGGGTCGGGTCTTTCCTCTACTAAAGTGATACTTGTACCGTATCCACCCCACCCCACCCACCTACCTCAGATCTGCTCTCACCACTTCTTCGAAAAGGCATCCCACTTGGTACAAGTACTCGAGACTCGGACTTCACAATAATACCTTCATCCGGACTTACAATCACCTTATCTGATTACTTTTTACTCGATTGGAATCCCTTTCATCTCTTTCTATTGGCCCAACATTGATTAATGTCACAGCTGCTTTCCACACCTCCACGTCGATATTCAGCTGAAGGCCAACCACCGCCATGAACGGACTCTCCCGCGATTAGCAATCTATCTATTACTTTTGAGAATATTCTACAGAGAGTTCAATACTTCCACCAAGACCACCCCCACCACCCACTCAGCATTTATCTATGATATCAGACCCTTTTTTGAATAACACCGCAGTTCATTCTCAAGATGTATCCATCAATAGGAAGACACAATACCGACCTTAGCACAAGTAGCTCTGGCTCTCGTTATAGCCAGGAATCTCAAGACTCCCGGAGTACTGCACCTACATCTATCCACAGTAATCCCGGGGCCGTTTCCTCCAAGAATGGCTACGAGATGTCACCCGCAACAACCTACTGTGCTCGGTCGTCGACAGAAACCTACGCTTCAACTATAGCATCCCAAGAGGAGATCTCGGAGGAACCAGATACATACGACCCCGAATATGAAGTCCCCGAGTATCGAGAGGTCGTTGAGACCAACTTGAACCCTACAAATCCATCAAACTTTGCAGACTATTTCCCCTCGGCAAAACGGCTATACGTCAGACACGATGATACTGCCTACGACGGAAATATGAATTTGCGAGTAGATACCGAGGCACTTGGTCGAGAGAAAGGAAATGTACAACTATTCCACTTGCGCATGCATGACCTGAAGAAACGCGAATTCTCCCTCCGTCGCTACGAGCGTAGCTCAGGTCGAGAAGTCTGCCACTCAAGTCGCAAATACACCAAGTCCGCCGCAGACCAAAGACCCGCATTTACCCGTTCTATGAGCAATGCCTTTGCAAACATCAGAAGACCCGACTTCAAGCATACGAAGTCAGGGCTATCAACACACGGAACCAAGAGTAGAAATGATGTGAAGAGACAAGACAGCGGCTATGTCTCCAACGAAGAAGAAGATGAGGACGAAGTCGAGGAGTTCATTGCCGAGCAGAAGTCAAACGGTCTTCCCATTCCCACCAATACCACCAAGCTCGAATTCTCGAATTACTCGCAAGTTCTGGTTAAGCGTAGAGGCAAGAAGTCGTCGAGTAAACGATACGAATTCGAATACTGGGGCCACACATACACCTGGAAGCGTGTAGTGGAGAAAGATGGTGCCGGAAAGGCCGTCTCGTATCACCTATTCAAGGGCGAAAGTACCCACGCAGTAGCACATATCGTTCCTGAGATGCGCTCGCTGTCTCAGATCCGCGCTGAGGATGCGGCGGGAGGATGGGTGCCTCCATGCTCGATGTGGATCAGCGACCACAGCGTGCTGGAGGCACTGACTGACGTTGCAGAGTAAGTACATCGTCCCAGTTGTCCTTGGGACACTTCTAACAAACAAACAGGGTCGTCGTGGCTACAGGTCTTATCGCCTTAGTAGATGATTGTATCAAACATCACTTTCACTCCAAGAAACACTCGCATCAAGTCAGCGTACCCCTCACGCCGCTAAAATACGAGGTGAAGTTTGTGAGTCCGAAAGCGATGGTTCAGCACATTTTCAAGCGCAAGAACTCATCGACATCGGAAGGAAAAAAGAGTCCGCTCAGCCAGACTAGTTTCGGCGCTGCTTGTTAGAGAGCATGGACGAAGACGACAGAATAGAGTTTTCACAGGACGACATTGCTTGTCGGTGGGATCATTAACGACGGGACCTACTTGCGTAGTGCAGTAGGGATAAGTACAGTTTACGTCAAAGAACAAACATATGCATGGATCGGTTGGGTTTGGGATTACAGCACATGGTATGGCATACCACATCGGCGTTGGACTTTATCTTTGGCATACGACTGATATGATATGACACCATCTACTCTTCACGAATGTTTAATTTATTTTTAGTTGTACATACACACCTACCCACTATTCTGGCACATGGCCATGAATGAACATCTTACATACTTCACTTTCAATAAAAGCCAGCGTGATTGTGTAAAGTGCAGTAAAGTGCAATATAGTCCAATGCTTCATAATCTCAAAACGCTTAGTCATATCCATATATTCATACCTAACTTCTCGTACATTCTCACCCCAACACCTATCAAACAGACATTCTCATAGCAATCCCCTTGTGAGGTTCGTACCCCTTAACCACAAAATCCTCAACATTCCACCCATCAATACTCCCCCCATTCTCCCTCTTGATCTCCAATTCAGGAAACTCCTTCGGCTCCCTCGTCAACTGCACCTTCAACGCATCCACATGATCAGCATAAACATGCGCATCTCCCATCGTATGCGTAAATATCCCCGGCATCAGATCGCACACATGCGCCAGCATATGGGTCAACAAGGCATAACTCGCAATATTGAACGGCACACCCAATCCCATATCACAACTCCTCTGATAAAGCTGACAATCCAGGCGTCCCCTCCCCCTCACCCCATCCTCGCCCTTCGGAAACGAAACGTAGAACTGCGCAAACATATGACAAGGCGGCAACGCCATGAGCTTCAAATCCTTGGGATTCCACGCGCTGAGAATAATCCTCCTATCATACGGATTATTCTTCAACTTGTAGATCACCTCGGCCAATTGATCGACGCCCTTGCCCGTATAATCCGTCTGCGCATCTACATACTCGGCGCCGAAATGCCGCCACTGGAACCCATACACAGGCCCCAGATCCCCGACCGCGCGGTGCGAGAGCCCGACCGAATCCAGGTATTCGCGCGATCCGTTGCCGTCCCAGATCTTGATGCCGGCTGCCGTGAGCGGGAGAGAGGACGTGGAGCCTGAGATGAACCAGAGGAGCTCGGCGAGGACGGCGCGCAGGAAGACGCGTTTTGTGGTGAGCAGGGGCAGGATGGGCGAGCCGGAGGGGGAGGAGAGGGAGAATTTTAGAGGCGTGGGCGCGAATAGGGAGTAGGTTCCTGTTCCTGTTCTGGGGGTGGTTGTTAGTCTGAATACCTTGTAGGTTTTCTGTTGTGGTGAGATAAAATATACCTGTCTGGTCGGTGTTCTCCCGTGTCGAGGATTTCGCGGATGAGATTCAGATATTGGTGCTCTTGGTGGGTATCGGTGGACTTGGGAGTAGGAATTGGATCGATTTGCTTCGATGCAGACGGGGGAACGGACGAGGCTTCTATGATTGAGGGTGCCATTTCTTTTCAATGCTGTTGTAGTGTTGTAGTGTTGGAGGGAGGGGAAGTCGCGACGCGTAAAGTGTTTTGGTAGCCTCGCGTCTTTAGGCCAGCCTTGACCAATCAGCTCAAAACATCTCGTCTCATCTCATCCCCCAGATTGTTCTTCCTTCACTCCATCCCTCGTTTTCAACAACAACAACAACAATGTCCACTTGTCAAGGGCAAGTGCCTCTATGTCTAATTCTAATGGTTGCACCGTGAAAGAAATGTCTTCAAAAGACATCTTCGAGTCTCTTCCGATTATTAACCTTTTCCGCTTTGTATTTGTTGATTACTACTCGGGACACTGAATGACTTCATCGGTTTAACAACTATCCGCAAGTTGCTTATAGATTCTCCCGTTCGGACAATTGACCGCAAAGCGGCACCAATTGGTAATGATTCAAGTCGAGTGAGATATTAAAAGTGAAGGATAATGAGTGCCGCTTTTTATGTCTAGCACGAACTATTGCCATGCAATTTAGTAGAAGCTTGATTGATAATCTTGTATAGTTCTTGCAGGAGGAAATGTTCACATTCTATATAAGTCCCAAGTGTTACCTTTTACAGTCTCATTTCTCATTTCTCATTATCTTCTTTCATCTGGACGTCATATTCTCTCCTACTCTCACAAAGATTCACTACAATCAGGACTTCACAAGTTTACCTTCAATTGATCATACACGCTTACCTAAATATGACTAAAACATCCCGAAAGACAGTTCTCATCACAGGCACCAGCGAGGGTGGGATTGGCGACGCTTTGGCTAGAGAATTCCACCGACAAGGCCTTTTTGTCATTGCAACAGCTAGGAATCTTGCCAAAATTCAGCATCTCAAAGACCTCGGCTTAGAAGTTCTTGCATTGGACGTTGTGGACCATGCTTCTATTCAAGATGCAGTCAAGAGCGTCGAGACACTCACAGGTGGAAAACTAGATATACTGATAAATAATTCAGGAAGTGGTTAGTGGAAATGCCCTTCCCCCTCCGCATCCTATCTAACGACATTACAGGATATAGTCAAAGCTTGCTAGATTCAGAAGTCGACATAGCAAAGAAGATGTTTGATGTCAACGTCTTCGCGCTCATCGAAGTCACGAAAGCTTTCGCGCCCCTCCTCATCGCATCCAAGGGCAAAGTAGTCAACATCGGCTCAATCGCCGGCATCATCCCGCTGCCATGGGCAGGATACTACGATGCTTCCAAAGCGGCAGTCAACCATCTCACCCGAGCGCTGCGAATAGAGTTAGCCCCTTTCGGCGTCGATGCCATCAATATCACCGCTGGAGTCATTAAGACCAAGTTCTTCGATAACCTCAATACGCCAAGGTTGCCGGCAAACTCTTTGTACGCTCCTGCGAAAGACCTGATAGAGCCGGTCATGGCGGGTGAAGGACTCAAGGACGCAGGTATAGAGCCGGAAGTCTTCGCCACGGCTGTTGTAAAGAATGCCCTAAAGTCCAATTCTACCAAGGACCTATGGGTAGGAGGAAATACATTCATCGTTTGGTTTGCGAGTACTTTTGGCTGGGCGACCATTTGGGTAAGCAAGCAATCTTCTCTGCCCCTACAAGTTTCACCTACTAATACTGTTCCAGGACGTCATCGTCCCTAAACTCTTCAAGATAGCTGAAGTTACCAAAAAGATCCAAGCAGCTGGGAAGTCGAATTGAAGCGAGCCAGGTAATTCGAGATGGGGGCTTTAATTTACAAGAGTCGGGACTTTGTTTTGTTTTCGTTTTCGGAGTTGAGCATGTACTGTATGAATGAATGAGAAGCATGCCAAAGTTTGCTCCAAGCATATTGCTTTTGTTTGTATCGCCAGCTTGTTCCAATGATACCAATCTTCCTGATAATATTATCATTTATTCTTGCATAAAATTCTCTCGCGTTAGATAATGCTCTTGGTGCGAGGTTGTGACATCTTGACATACACAGGAACGTATACACAGGAACGTTATATATTTAGATATTACCTTGGGCCAGAAGTTAGGGAGTTAATTGACTGGAGCAGACCTTAAAAGAAATCATGAGTTTTAGGGGATGGGTTGGATGGCTCATTATGATTACTATCAATCTAACTCGTACAAGCCTGATTATATGTTTCTTTCGCCTCTCGCCTCTGTAAACATCAGCCTCATCCGAGACAAAAAAAAGCGGTACTGGATTCAAGTGTTCCAAGTCGAGTGACACTGGAATAGCTGCCATGTTACGGGGTAAGCGCCGCTTGTTATCTTCACCGCGACCCAGCCTCCTCCCTCCTCACCTTGGACCTAATCCTCACAGAAGGCAAACTCCACGCCTCATACTCCTTGCCCATTTCTCTACACACACTCTCCAGCAGCTTCTCCTCCATGACAACACTCTGCTGGAAATCAATCCACATGCGCAACAGCACCTCCATGTCGCCCTTGGGCTCGGCAAACGCCACTATCTCGTCCGGAACGACATTCTCGCGCTCAGTCTCGGTGTCTTTGGCCGTGAGTAGGACGAGGACAATTTCTTGCAGGTTCTGGAATCCGCGCAGCAGCGAGGCTTTGTTGTAGGATTCCCAGGGCCGCTTGACGGCCGCGTCTACATGCTCGATGGCCAACCTGCGGACCTCGTCCAGCAAGCCGTCTTCGTCTTTCACAATGGTTTTGAAGTCCCGTAACGTCTCGTCGTAACCCATTTCCCTGTGTCGGGGGAGGTAGAGTGTGTCGTGGTAGGGATTGAAGTATATGCGTGCTGGATGGTGGGCGGTGCCGAAACATAGCTTGTATTGTTTCTGGGCTTCGACTCGGGATTCGTGGGTCGCGTGGAGGAGGGCGGGCGGTGTTGAGCACGAGAGGCACTTGTCGCGCTCCGAGTCGTAGCGGACGGTGATGGTGCGTGGTTGGCAGGCGTGTTGCCATATCTTTATTCTGAGCTCGGGTGCCAAGGAAGGGAAGAGGGAGAATATTGTTGGTTGAGATGGCATGGTGGTTGGTGGTATTCCCATGTAGTTGGGAATTTGTGCTTGGGAGATGTGGAAGAGAAGGCCCTTTGCCTGTGGTATGGCGAGACTTATTTAAGGGATGAGAGAGAAATTGAGGGCACGACTTCCGACTTATAAAAATATAGAAATAGTACAATCCGGGGTCGTATATTGTGGCTTGCGGCTGCGGAGGGAGCTATATGCACGTCTCTCCATAAAACGAGAAGGGTGCTGTGCTGTAACTGAAGGTAAAGGGAAGCAAGAAGTGATGCAAATGTATCTCGAGAAAGAAGAAGAAAATGTAAGTAAGATCTTACCTAGGTATATAACGGTTCACATGTTTCATCGATAGTAAGCAAAAGCTGGCTAAGGCTGACTAAGAGGGATATCCGACTGGAAGAAGCTTCAACAATGCCAGCTAAAGGCGATCTAATGCTAAAACTGTGCTCTTGGCCCGTCTGGATTGCAGCGGCCATCCGAGCCATCTTCAAGTGAGAGAGGGGCATCCTGGATCGTTGTGGCGACTGAACTGGCTGGACCCTAGGCGATCATGGCCACAGTGGCGTGACTCTTGGGACGACAGCCTTGCAAGCCGAAACGAAGGAAATATATTGGATGGCTGCTAGCTTAAGTTTTGCGATGAAGGGATACTGGAGGTACAGTATTCGGAGAATTGACTGAAAGAGGAGGAGTTCCTGTGAGCTGAATTGCTACTTGGAAATAATGGGTGGGCCTCGCCTGGCATTAGAGCTTTGACACTTCGTTTTCTGGAAGTACCGTACCCAAGTAGACATTTACGAAGTACGAAGATATTCCAGATAATGGGATGTAAATAATCTGTGGATTTAGTAAATCTGGTAAACTTACTGGTATCTATATTGTCGGACTTCTACAATAGCCAGAAGAGATGGGGGTGGATGAGTGAAGTTGTGAAGCTTCATGGATTGAATCCCCAGGGCCAGACCAATCCAATCGTGGCAAGCTAAAGAAATTCTACCTCCGTAGATGGAACAAGCATGGCATGGGCATACATCTTAGCTTATTCTCCCCCCCATCCCCTCTTCTCTTCTATACCCCACGAGTATTCCCAGCCATGGAAGCAGTAAAGTCAATGCCATCTGCTCTGGATTTTGAATTAGTAGCTCGTTGTTCTGTAAGCCTCCCTCATCCTACATTCGGCGCATAACCCTCATCTCATCGCAAGACCAGACCACCAAAGCCCGCGCCGCTGTCCTCACTCTTCCTCATGGACCCGTCCAACTCCCACTATTCATGCCCGTGGCCACGCAGGCTTCACTCAAGGGACTGACACCAGAGCAGTTGGAAGGAACGGGATGCAGATTATGTCTGAATAATACCTATCACTTGGGATTGAAGCCTGGACAAGAAGCACTGGAGGCAGTTGGAGGGGCGCATAAACTGCAAGGATGGAAACATAACATCTTGACTGATAGCGGAGGGTAACTAAAACTATCTTGATTTATAGTCTAGGAATTTATTCTGACATGTATCAGTTTCCAGATGGTCAGTCTCCTCAAGCTTGCGAATATCACAGAAGAAGGCGTCCGATTTCTAAGTCCCCACGATGGCACACCTATGCTCCTCACACCAGAGCACTCAATTGCCCTGCAAAACACCATAGGCAGCGACATCATCATGCAGCTAGACGATGTCCTTGTCACCACTTCACCGGATACGAAACGAATGCGGGAGGCTATGGAGCGGAGTGTGCGATGGCTGGATCGTTGTATAGCGGCACACAAGAACCCGACTACCCAGAATCTATTTTGTATCATTCAGGGAGGTCTGGATCTGGAGATGCGGGAAGAATGTTGCAGGGAGATGGTTGCGAGGAACACACCTGGCATAGCAATCGGCGGCCTGAGTGGTGGGGAGGCAAAGGCGGATTATTGTCGTGTGGTAAGCACATGTACAGGTCTTCTCCCAGAGTTGAAGCCGAGATATGTTATGGGTATTGGCTATCCAGAAGATCTGGTGGTTAGTGTGGCGCTGGGTGCAGATATGTTCGATTGCGTCTGGCCTACACGGACTGCCCGATTCGGAGATGCTATCACGAAGTATGGTGTTTTGAAATTACGCAGTGCAAGCTATTGCAACGATTTTGGTCCTGTGGAGGAAGGCTGTGGGTGTGTATGTTGCCGGAAAGGGGACGGTGGTCTGGGAGTTACACGGGCGTTTGTGCATCACCTTACTGCTAAAGAAACGGTTGGGGCCCATCTGCTTACTATACACAATGTCTGGTATCAGTTGGCGTTGATGAGGAGTGTGAGGGAATCGATCATAGAGGACAGGTTTCCGGCGTTTTTGAAGCAGTTCTTTGCGGATTTACATGGCGGGGATAAAGCAAAATATCCCGACTGGGCTGTAGAGGCGTTACGGACAGTGGGTGTTGATTTGATGATGTAGGAGTCAAAATGTAGGAGGACAAGAAAAAGCGCTGTAGAACATGATACCCCATAGATGATCTTATGAATCCCAGAGTTTGAATGTAGATATACTGGCTCATGACTAAACATATTAAATATTGATACATATTGATTAAAGTACATTCCCATGTGACGAACCGCAATATCTGCTAAAATACACAAAAGTTCTTTTTCACCTTGAACCCTTTCCATAAGAACTGAAATCTATGTTTGTAAATGTGTTTAATGTAGAGTGACACAATGAGGGGAGTTGAGTGCCCTGATCAACTGCAGCAAGGCTGAAACGACAGGGGTATAGGCGCGTTCTCGGTCGCGTTAGACGCACTGTTGCATAGGGGGGAAGTTTGAGTTTGGATAGCTTCAATGTGGCAAATTACCAGATACTTTCAACTGTGAATTACTCTGTATTGGCAGTGAAAAGCAATTCAATAAGCGGTGTTGGAAGCGGTAAGGGCGGCCTTACCAGCTGTTACACTACCACCATGTCTTCTCCATCGTCAACAAACAAATCACCCGCCTTTAAAGATTCCCTCAAACGCTTCTCTATGGGCGACACCAACCCCCCACCACGAATGGGAGATCTTCCATCCAGCGCAGAGTCCGCACCTCTTTCACCACTCTCGGCGTCTCCAAGGTCTTTCAAGCAACGAACAGCATCGCCAAACGGCAGAGCATCATCTCGTCCGCCACCTCGAAGCCCTAGTTCTATGAGTATCGATGCGCGCTCCTCTACTCCAAGCTTGCTGCGCAAAGCTTCAATGAATTCGCTACATGGAGTCGGGAGTGTTACTCCTCCAGTATGTTCAATATCTCACAACCTCTGGGATCTTCTGAAATACTAATTGTGGTGTGCAGAGACCGTCTTCACGCCGATCTTCCTCGTCGCAATTCCTGAACGGATCAACAATGCTAGGAGGTAAGTCAGATTGAGGGCGTACTTGAAGAATATCTTTGAATCTGTAGGACAATATAATGACCTATCTGTAGCAAGCAAATCGCCATTGGCAGAGATCGAACCTGAGCGTCCACGGCACACGGCTGCTTCAATTGCACATGGGCATTTTGAGAAGGATCTCGCATTACATGAGGAAGGAGAATCATCTAGGCAAGTTGAGACAATAGTGGTCCTTCATGATGCATGTTACGGGCACCGTTATTCCAGACCACGAACATCCAAAGCCGCCCTCAGTACGATTGTCGAACGGCCAGAGCGGATACAAGCTAGTATTCTGGGTTTATCTGTGGCATATGTTCGTCTTGGAGAACGCCATGCCGAGGGCTCCAATCCCCTACATCCTAATAGAGATCCGTCAAGCATTCCAGGTACACCCTTTCGAATCCGTAAGACGACTCGAAGGCTCCCTCTATCGTCACAAGCAGTTACAAACGTTCATGGGACTAAATGGATGGAAGAACTCAATATTATGTGTGATAATGCGGAGGCCAAACTGGCCATGAATGGGAAGGAATTGACCAGGCCTGAAATGACAAGGAGCCCTACGCAGGATGTACCCCCTAAGTTGCATGAAGGAGATCTATACCTCTGTTCCGAATCTCTCACTGCTATGGAGGGAGCATTGGGGGCAGTATGCGAGGGCGTGGATTCAGTTTTCCAAGGAGCGGCAAGCGGGAAAGGGCCATATAGGACATTCGTTGCTATTCGACCTCCAGGACATCATTGCTCAGCTAGCTATCCTTCTGGATTTTGTTGGCTGAATAATGTTCATGTAGGAATCTCACATGCGGCTCTTACTCATGGCTTAACTCATGCCGCGATTATTGATTTTGATCTCCATCATGGGGATGGATCTCAAGCTATTGCATGGGAGCACAATAAACGGGCTTCTAGTCTACCCAAAAATGCGCTTCCCTGGAAGAAGACCTCGATTGGGTATTTCAGTTTGCACGATATTAACTCATACCCTTGCGAAATGGGGGATGAAGAGAAAGTTAAGAATGCGAGTCTTTGCATTGAGAACGCCCACGGTCAAAGCATTTGGAACGTACATTTACAGCCTTGGAAGAGTGAGAATGACTTCTGGGAGCTATATGAAACCAAATACTCGGTACTTCTGGAGAAGACCAGGAACTACCTCCGAGCACAAACAGAGCGGTTGCAAGCTTCACCTAATGGACCTAGACCGAAGGCTGCTATTTTCCTGTCTGCTGGATTTGATGCTAGCGAATGGGAAAGCTCGGGGATGCAACGTCACAAAGTTAACGTGCCTACGGAGTTTTACGCTCGTCTGACTCGAGATGTGGTGAAACTCGCAGCAGAAGAGGGAACCTCTGTTGAAGGTCGAGTGATTAGCGTCCTGGAAGGAGGCTATAGCGATAGGGTATGTATCTCTTTCTATATACACTGGGAGTAACGAGGCATTACAATCGCTGCCCAAATCCTTCTCGAATAAGCAATGCTGACCTCAAAATTTTGCAGGCTCTATATAGCGGTGTTCTCAGCCATCTCAGTGGCCTTGCTGGCGGCGCGCCCATGGTCATCAAACAGGAAATCAGTGAGATAGGGCAGAAAATTGGCAGCTTAGGCAATTTTGAGGATTCAGAACCTGTAGTCGACCAGGTCCCATTATATGATCCGCTGTGGTGGTCTTCTCAACGGCTCGAGCAGCTAGATGCAACCGTCACGCCAGCAGCACCGCCTCCCGAGGTAAGATAACTAACAATCTTACATTCTTGGGGACATTTTTAGGCATTCTTGAACCATCGAAAGAAGTAAAGCTAACTCCCTATTCACAGCCTAAGAAAGCAAAAGATGGGACATTGCCAACCTATTCAACTCCGACGCAGTCCTTTATTGCAAAGGTCGCGTCACCAAGACGCGTTCTGTCAATGGGTAATAGTTCTCCACGACCTGTCGTCTCTAGAACCCCGTCTCCACCCCCTCCTGAAGTTGATTGGACTGTTGCTGCACATGAGCTTAGCAAGCTTCTTATCCCACTGGATAGGCAAACTATGAGCTGTCGACCAGAGGTAAGAATATCTGAATTCTCATGGAATCTTTAGTACAAAGGTGTCTCAAAGTTCCTGAGGCGTATCGCATTCTTTTTCCAAATAGAATATTCGACTAACCTACACCTTTACAGGACCTGTCAGCGGAAGCTACCCGGGCTCGTCGTGATAGACAGTCTATACTAATCCCGTCAACTTCTAGCTCGGAACCGTCTGAAGTTACCAATAAAAACACTAGGATGGCCCTTCGTACGCGGAAGCCAGCAAAACCTATAGTTGAGACCGAGGAAGAAGATGATGACAGAAAGCCTGCAACAAAGGCAAACCGTCGAAAGACCGTTGCTGGTTCGGCAGTTCTAGCCGGCAAGGTATGTTTGTGTTTTTAACCTCCCCTCGCTGTTATTAGACCACGCTGTCTCAGGGCTCCCGAATCACCTGGATTTCTAGGCCTCTAGTGGTTGCTCGACCATCTACGAAAATGCGACGTTATCATGCCGTTCATGCCAAAGCCAAGCTAATTGTTAAATGCAGGCTCCGTCGAGTACGACACCCATGCCAACCTATGCAAAACCTACGGGTCAATCAAGCAGGCGTCTGAGCTTAGTATCTGATGCCGGATCTGTTACGTCGACAACCAATAGTTATAGTAGAGTAAGTACCCTTCTAGATGTCTTCAGATCCTTTAGACAACTCAAGGAATAGGACATACTAATTCTCTTGCAGGCGCCATCGAATGGACCGATGACTATGTCCCAGAGACCGGGTACTTCCCAAAGTGTTAGGCCCGATTCATCAATGAGCTCTCGAGGCAATTCAATCCCTCCGGTTGTTGTAAAGAAAACTCGTGCTCCACCACAGCCTCGAAAAGACGCCCCGAAGCCGACTCGTGTGAGACGGAAGTCACCTTTGAATACTTCTGCAGGAGATCCTTCTACACGAAACGTCTCAAATGGCCAACAGTCTATGTCTAGCAACGTTGTACCTAGTATAGAGACTGCGACTTCCCCGCCATCGGATATGGACAGCTTGACTTCAGGTATGAAGAAGATCAAGTTGAACTTGACTACCAAGGCTCAGCGAGAAGCAAGAGAGCAGGGAAAGACGGCCACGAAAACATCCACGAAGTCGGCCGCACCTAAGATGACTAAACCTCTCCCGATACTTCCGCCTGCTAGTCAGATTAATCCAGCTCCGCCTTCCATGATACCACCTACGAGCAACGGTACTACCGCACAATCTCCGGTATACCCAGCTGCTAGCCAAAGTATGTTACCTCCGCTTTCAATTGAGCCACTATCGAGCAACGGTCAAGTTTCGCAACCTCCGATAGAGCCTCTTCCCCCCAGGCCGTCGACTCCACAGCACTCACCACAACACGTATTCCTGCATCAGGCCCAACAGCCCACCAACATCCCACTTCCAGATAGCTCTCCTCTGAACTCGCCCCCAAAGACTCCGGCCCAATCAGTACCAGTAGCTGCTGGGCCAGATATATTCGTTCCTTACCAACCAGAAGGTCCTACTCCCCACCCCGTCTCCCAACAAGAACCAATCCGCTGGTTATCTCCCAATACTGCTACACCCAGTCACATGAAGCGAGGTGATCTCCCCGTTTTTACAAGCACCTCTGCCATTCCCTTTGGCGTGAACCCTAAATTCGGCGTCCCTGGAGGCCCGCCAGAGAAAGCAGAGCCATTGAAGAAAGAAGATGTAAAAGGCGGGAAGGATGATTTGATTTGGGAGGTTCCGGAAACTCCTCCACGGATGTGAGAAGCTGAGCCCTTTTGGACGAAGGCCTCTACAACCACACACAATATTCCCTTTGTCTGTACGATTCTGTTGTAATACTCCTTCCTGTACGAGTACCCAGCCTTGTTCTTCTTTCGTTTTCGTTCTCGCCTACAGTCTCTGTTGCAGAGAGACCCGTGGAGCTGCTGCTTTATGATACCCTTTGGAAGTCTTGGGAGGATGTATGTTTGTATAGTGCGAGTGAGTGGAACTAAATCTATTGTTTAATTAAGTATAGCCAGTGTGTGTGTTGGATGCAATGCAATGCAATTGAGTGAATAATGACTCTAGTTTCGTGGGTGGGTGTGCAAGTTTTCTTACCACTACCCTTAGTCATTTCGTCTTCTTTTCTTATACATTCTTTATCGTCCGTCTGGGACCTACCCCCTCCTGTCATGTTTCGTCTCATGTGCTCTACCTCGTATAAATTCCCCAAACTGGAAATACAAGCCCCCTCTACTCCCGAAACCGCCTTAAGTAGGAAATAACTAAATTCCCCGTCATCTAGTGGGAGGTCGGGAGTGCAAATGGAGTAGGGTTTGTGCCTGTGGAGGAGTTGGGGATTAAGAGAGGGGAGCTCGTTGGATCAAAGGAGAGCTTTGAGATATACAAGGATAATCTTGTTTGGATTTCTCGTTTATAGCTACAGCTCGAGTAGCGATAGATGTCACAATTCTATGCTTTTAATTTGATATCAGTTCGGATAGGCCATCAGACAAATGCCTTGCCACTTGAGGATGGTTTTGCCTGTCAACAGAAAGTAGAGAACCGTTGTCAAGCCAGATTTGGTTAGCTAGGTTTGAATCTGCGGGAGCGCCGGAAGGTGAGTTTTATAATGTTCTCAATCTTTTGAGGGAGGAAGAACTTCGTTGACACTTGGTCGATAACGAGATGTTGAAGCGGTGTCATTTTTTAGAGAGTGTGTGAAAATTAATCGAAGATTGGACAATCTGAAGGGATTAACGCCGAGTATGCTGATAAAGTGGCCAGTCATTCAGTGGATATCTTGGCTTCTATGACTGTTTCTCTCCCGCAGTAAGGAAAAGGAAAGCAATATGGACTATGCGCTGATAATGGGGGGGGGGGGGACATCAGAGCGGACAGATAGCTGATGTAGCTTGATTGTTGGCAGAATTTTGGAAGATCGTAATGTTTCACAGCTCAAATATGCAGATATGTGTGCCTAGAAGCTTGAGGGAGCTTTGCTTTTGTCTCGTTGTACACGCTATACGTCGGTCGTACTGCCAACAAAAGAGTAGACTTGGACTCAAAAACAACACGTTCAAAAACTGCTATGCTCACGCAATACTTCATGCCTACTGGGTAAGATTATAACGACCGCTGCAGAATGCTTGACATGTTTGGACTGCCTACTCGAAACAAAGTAACGACAGACAAGGAAACCAAAACAACCCAGTGCTGAGGGGTTGGGTCTGCGAATAAGAGCGATCGAGGATCTGCTCTCACATACCTGCCACTGTCGCTATTCCGAACCCCCAGCCATGATCCTCCTCCATCACCCCAAATCACCTCCAACACAAAAATCCAAAACAATCCTCACAGTGAAAACGAAGTAACAAGCGGAACTGTCGCGAAACCAGCAACCGACCACAGCCGCACGCACAGCATACGGACGACAAATTCATAGCGTACAGTACTGTACCGGATAGAGAGATCGTAAAACTCGGCAAGGGAGTCAGTCCACTGAGGCCGTGACAGTATGCTTCTTGTGCGATGGATGGGATGGTCACCTAGGCCAGGCGATCCTCGCTGGAGCTGAAGGGGGTGCATGAACCCGATGAGGCTCTGCTCCTACACCCCAAAAGGCAAAAAGGGTACCTGCATATCGAGATGCTTGACAACTGACCCCCACCGCACTGCTCCCATTCCGACTTCAGAACGTGGGGTTGGGTCCCGGATTTGATCCATCGGTTCAATACTACATACATATAGGACCTGCATGAGGGCTAAATCCACGTACAGTACAGTACCAATAAGACGCGGTACCAGAATACATGGGTACATATCATCCGTCGACCGTGGGGGTATTTCCGATTCTGTGTCTGGTCTGAATAACTTCATTGATTACTTGTACAGCTGCCCGCCCAGTGAAAGAAGGAAAAAAGGGTCGCGGGTCGTACAGTACAGTATGATGATTGGTCAGCTAAATCAGTTTGCCGTTCTGTTGCATTTGCGGGGGGAGCTTGACTGGAGCTTCAAGGTCGCGTGCCTTTCCTCTCCCGATCCGATCCACATCACATCACATCTCTCCCAACAACACAACACTCCACTTCACTACAACTTACAACTCATTTTCCATACGAAATACATTGCCGCTTCTCTCTACTACGCACCTTCCCAATACCCTTCAATCCTCCACTCCACTCCATTGCAAGCCTTCCTACCGACTTCCAAGCTTAATTCTTCAAAAATGCCTACACCGCAGTCCCTTCTCTCGTACGATATCAACCCCCGCCCTCTCACCCTTTCCCCACCGCCCCCTCTACCCTCACATCCAAACCCACAGAAACAAAAAAATAGAAACCCAAGCATAAACAGGAACACAGCTAACCCCCTCTCCACCAGTCGTCAAAAAACCCCCCTCCTAATAGCCACCTTCCTCACCGCAAGTAGTCTCTTCGTCGGCCTAAAGTGGCGTGCAGTAATGGCGCGCAGCGAAGCAGCCAAGAAAGCCAGCTCGAAAGAAGGGAATGCGAATGCGAATTTCGGCGTGGCGACGGGAAGAAGTGGTGAGTCTGCCATACCATACATATACCTCGATATTGCAATTCTGTATTTCTTTGGGGGAAATTACACCTAGCTGATACTGTACAACATTTCGACAGGTGGTGGGATTTAAATATCAAAATCCAAGCAATGGAGATGGGGGAAGTGAGGAAGCGAGCAAGCAATGAATGAATGGCGATGGTTATGATGATTGATGGACGAAAGATACTTGAGAGCTTGCCTTGCGGATGGGACACTTACGCATACGGGCTACATATAAATCGAAGCTGTTGATATAGGAGTCAGAGGGAGGTTTCGTGTGGCGTTTATTCAATTGGGCGCTGGCGTGATCTACTCTTTCGTACAGCATGGATTGAGATTGCTTTCGGTGTTACAGTACGGACTGAAGAATGAAAACATGGAATGAATATACCACCAAGTGTTTATCAATCTGTGATACGATCAAGTCCATTATTCTCAGTCTGGAAGCATAGTAAGTAAGTAAGTTTTGAGAAATCAGATCAAATCAAATTCAAAAGAAGACAGACAGTTTTCTAACCTATTCAGGTACTGTAGATGAAAATCAAAGCGTGGTAGACCAAGCAAGGCCACGTTTTGATACTTCAAATTTTGCAAGTATACATTATTCTATTGTTATACAAACGACTTTTTAATCAAAAGGCCCCGATATCATATCAATCATTGCTCTTTCGACTGCGCTTCCTTCTTCTGCGCCCTTATGGTCTTCCACCTCATAAACCAACAGGCAAGCGGGAACAGCACGGTATTAACAGCAGCCCACGCGAACAGAACACCGAAATTCAAGCCGATTTCAGAGTGCGTGTCGAAGAGAATAGTTCTACTTGCATTTACCACTTCTCCATGTCAGTATGAGGTCGCAAAGGGAGGGCAGGGCAGGCATGGAGGAAGGACGTACGGTTATGCAGAGGCCATGCATAGCCCCAGTAGTAAAACCGCGGCGCCAGGGTAATGGAGTAGAAGGACGTCGCCACATTAGTGATAACCCACTACGAAGCCCATTAATTAGTACCTACCAATGCTATACCATCTTTTTCGCCAAGATGGAACGAGAGAGAACAGAACTTACGAAAATCAACCAGAACGCCATCCAGGGCTGCCCGACAAACATAGCGACGTTTTCACAAGCCAGTCCCAACGCAACCATGCCCACGAAATTAATCATCCGGTATACCACGAAACTTCCATAATGGTACGCGTTTGCCGGGTTCGCTACCATGATGTCTGGTGCTGGAGGAGTGCTGAATGGGATCTGGAACGCTAGGGAAATGAGCGAGTAGAAGAGGCTCAGGAACAAATATACTGTCACGGTAGCGCACCAGCGCCATATAACCAGCTGGTAGAAGTGCAGGGGGCGATGGCCTGGCGAGACGAACTTCATGTGAATGGGTAGGTAGAAGCCGAAGGAGAAGAAAGAGAGGATGATCAGATAGATGAGGCCGACGGTGACTGCTGGTGTGGCGACAGGCGGGCCGAAGGGGCGCAGGTTGAAGGTTGAGAAACCAATGGCAGGATTCACAGCTTGCGGTGCTGCTTGGATGTTGGACATGATGGCGCTGTTGGAGGAGGCCATGGCTAGGACTTGTCCTGCCCACGCGCGGCCGACTATTGTAGTAGCCATGCTTTGGAAGCTAAAGAGCTGCGGTAAGATGTAGCTGCCCACGGTGGTTTCGTCGCGAGCTTCAACAAAGACGATTTGTGCTGCGCCCATGGGATCGTATGTCGTGTTACCATTCATAACTGCGTCTCGAAGGAGAGCTGTTGCGTTGGCATTGATGATGATTGCGGCCCATGCCTTTTCGTTGTAGACAGCTTGCCGGACTGCCATGGGGTCATTGTTGAAGGCTGAAGCTGGAAGAGATCCCCAACCTAGCGAGCCACTGGGTGCAATCAACGATTCTGCTACCGAGACGATTTGGGGACCGACGATGGGCGTGATATCTGTATATGGAGCAATCTGGCCATCGAAATCCACAACGTATACAACAAGAGCTGACAGGTTCTGCTCTACTCGAAATAGAGCACCCCAGTACAGCGAGAGGATTCCCAGGATGAACGTTGAGAGGATCACGGCTGGAAAACTGTGTTAAAATGACAAGAAGTATATCCCCAAGACGTGTTTGTAAGACGAAAGACGTACTCGTGAGAAGCCAATGTTTGATGACATCCAGCCTCACTTGTTTCAATGCTGGGTTCCAAAACCCAACGGGCCCAGTCTCTTGCTTTCTCCCCTCTCCTTTCTCGCCGCCATCATCTTGGCCGATATGTACATGTTGATCCTTCTGCCTATTTTGCTGCGAATTTGACTCGGAAGTATCCTCATCCGAACTTCGAGGCATCTGGTCTTTGAGGAGGGTTCTCTCTGCCGGTAGGTGTCTTAGTTAAACCGAAGAGAGATGAAGGGGGAGAATGGAGAAACATATCATACAAATATAGGACAGAAAAATATAAGAAACGAAAGGCTCGTCATAAGTCAAGCAACTTACGGATAGTTAATAAGTTCCGAGTTTACTTACCTAAGATACCTAGGTATTGTATTTACTCCGTAAAATGCGAAGAGAAGAGACGGGTTCATTTGAGGATACCATAAAACCTCCATAGTGATGATGTCAGTCGGCGCTTTCACCTCCGTATTTGCGGGAGATCGTCAATGGCGCTGCCATCTGTACTAGTAGTAGTACCGATGATGATGATTACCATATTATGTAAAATGCCGACCTTTTTGCCTAGAAAGGAAAGGGTCCCTCTTATTAAATCCGAGGAAATTATCATGCGAAAACTATACCATAACCATCATCACGTGATTGACTTACGGTGGAGAGGATGTTGGAAACCGAAACTATGTAGCCTACAAGTTTCTCGATGCGCTTAAAATATATAAATATCCAAGGTATATAGATTATAGCAGATCTTCAGATCTCTCAACAAGCCTATTTTAAGGCTCCGGCTAGATTAGCGCATTTTGACTATCAGCCTCGCACGTGGAGATAGCAGATAATAAAATTCCTGTAGAAATTCATCTTCAATTCATCTTCGTTGCTTGAACTTGCGCCGAGGAAAACAAACACATCACAATGGTCAAAAAGAGAGTCAGAGACCCAGAGGTCCTTGCCGACGCACCACCGGCTCAAGTGGAGGGTGATGACAGCGGGAGTGACGATGTTTGAAGACCCCTCGATTCCCCCACCATATCTAGGTACTAATCGAGACTTACCTTAGGACGTTGACATGGTCAATGTGGAGTTTGAATGGTTCAATTTCAAGCCCGACGTCGATTTCCACGGCCTCAAAAGTCTCCTGCGCCAACTCCTCGATGTGGATTCCCAGCTCTTCGACCTCTCCGCGCTCGCAGATCTCATTCTCTCGCAGGCCACGCTCGGCTCCACAGTCAAGGTTGATGGTGAGGATACAGATGCCTACGCCTTCCTTACAATCCTCAACTTGCACGAGCACCGAGAAAAAAAGGTCGTTAGGGATCTAGCGCAGTATATTGCCGAGAAGTCCAAGTCGAATGAAGCGCTCGCAGCGCTGAGCAGCGTCCTCGCCTCGCCCGCCTCACAGGTCGGTCTCGTGCTCGCGGAACGCATGATCAACGTGCCGTCTGAAGTGGCACCGCCCATGTACGCGATGCTCATAGACGAGATCGAAGCAGCGGTGGAGGATAAAGAGCCGTACGAGTTCACGCACTACCTGATCCTCTCGAAAACATACAACGAGATCGAGTCTGCGCTGGACCAGGAAGAGGCGCCGCGGACGAAGAAGAGCAAGAGCCAGGGCGGGAAGAAGGGGGGGGAGACGTTTTACTTTCATCCCGAGGATGAGGTGCTGCAGCGCCATGCGCTGGCTGCGGGGGCGTTTGAGTATACGAGGGATGAGGGGGAGGGCATGGCGGATAGTAAGAGGGCGTTTCAGGAAATGGGGATTAAGGCACAGGGATCTTTGATGTTGATTGAGACGAGCAGGTTTGAGGGGGCTGTTAAAGCTATTGGCGAGTACCTTAGCCCTCCGCAATAAATGTCCACTGCGATTAACATTAAGGTCTATTTTATGGCTTTCTTTCCCTTTCTGACCCTTGATCGTTGCCAAGTTCTTCTTTGTTGGAGCCACGAGCTAAGTCCTATTCTAATGCATCCGTTATTGTTTTATACCTCCCCCCACCTCCCTTCATCTTTCTCTTCAGGCCTTCCTACTCCAACCTCTGCATCAGATACTCAACCTCGACCTCCTTGGTAAGAGGGATAACAAAGTCCTTATACATCGCCACCACAGCCTCGACATTAATCTTCCCACCCCCTTCCGCACCACTACTAGGATCCGTACCATACGTCCTAGCCTTCAACCTCAAGCGCTCCAACACCTTCTTCTCCACCGCCTCATTCGTAATCGCCGCCCCAATGCCCTCCCGATCCTCCTCCCGAATCAACGCCGTGAACCTCTCCGTCTCAGTCTGAAACTTGCTTTCGGCCACAAACTTCCCGAAATGAATGCGCCGCGACAGCGACTGCAAGCAATTGATATCGGCCGTGGCCGCACTGCCGTAATTCTCCTCCGTCTCCCCGCGATCCTGGCGCCCGAAATCCGCGCAAGCGCCCGGCAGGAAATGCCCAATGTAGAACTCCTTGATCTTCGCGTTCACGTTGACGTCGTTGCCGTGCAGGATCTGCGGGTAGTGCAGCGGTTGCAGGATGGGCGTCTGCAGTGCGTCGGGGAAGAAGGGGTATTCGTCTGGCGACTGGAAACGGCGGATTCGCGAGTCGAGTTTTTCGCGCTCCCGTAACGTCCAGTCGAGGAAGCTGAGGCTGCTGTGGGGGATTGCGAGGGCGCCGGCGGAGTAGATGGTTGGGTTGAGGGGAAATTGTACGCGTTCGATTAGGTGGAAGGTTATGGTGTCTTCTAGGCGGCTAGGAGAGGGGCGGTTGTTAGTTACTGTATAGTATGAGGTAGATGTAGAAAAGAGAGAGGAAGAGTTTACATGAGTTGGAAGCGGATGTTGCTTAGGTCAAGAGCCTTTGAGGCATCGGAGAGATCTATAGCGGTGTCCATCTTGGTCGTGGCGGGGTAATTTGAAGCTCTATAGAGGCAGGACAGGGTTCGAAACTGGAAGGGGAATACGTCGAGAAGGGAATATTGAGGTTCGGGAGGGAGATGTTGACGAATAAATAGTTCGCGGCTGCTTAATATAAGATGAATCTCATAGACTGTCAATGGAAGGGGAGGGGCACATTGTTGTTTTACGGCGTATTGATGCCGTCCTCGGACTCAACTCAACCAACCGAACCCCTGTGCGGCCGCATCAAAATTGCCAAGCTTGAATGTGCTTGTCTTGTGCCAGCCTGCCAGCATCATCGGCTCGACGCTTCACACGACCAGATAAACAACATTGACAACCGCTTTTGCCGCTCTCCACCACATCCAAACTGCACAATCAACACCCATCTCAGCTGAAATCTGGTATTACATGTTTGGCGGACGGTGAAGTAGTACGTATGGCTGGCTCAGATAGCCGCAATGCCTCTCCATTTGGAGGACCAGAGGAGGACGATTCCGCCATAATATCCGTATGTCAATGGAACCTCTTCCTTTGGCTTCCAGCTAAGACTTACTAGACACGCGGACTCGAGGCATTCGGGCGCAAGGTCACAACAACAGCCGGCCATCTCATAGGAGATCCGACTTCCAATGCACATTATCAAACAGCTATGAGCGACCTACATAAACAACTGCGGAGGCCGAACCTCCAAAGAAACGTCTTCTCCTTTGCGAAAACCACCCCGACAGATCTCGTTCGATCGAAGCTGTCGACATCCGAGATACAGTACCGGGCCTTGACATATCTACCCGACGAACTTTTGAGGAACATCCCGGAGGATGAGAATACCTACTCGCTGTTCCAAGGCTTCCAAGCCACGCTGCCGGAAAGCAGCCCAGAAGCAAAAAAGCATCGGAGGAAAATATCGAGGGGGAGGAAGATGCTCGAGGATGACAAGTCGGGGTCAGATACGCCACCATCGTTAGGGAAGCTCAAGAAGGAAAGGAATACGCTGAATCACCAACTGGAAATGATGGGTATCCGGAAAAACATGGCTAGTAGCGAGATCCATGAAATCGATAATAAGATTGCGAATCTGAATAGCATGCGGAAAATCGTGTTGGAGAGGTTAGCAGGGCTAGAGCAGGAGGAAAGCATGTTGGAACATGACAGTAAGTACATGTGATGTATGTTTGACTTGTTGCTGACCTATTTCAAGTACTTGATGTGGAAAACCGCCTTGAAGATGCACAAGAACAACTCGAAGATGCCGAAGCATGGAAGGCGGAAGTAGACCTGGAAGATCCGGACGAAGATGCTAAAGACGCCTCTTTCATGTCAGAATCGATATACCAAAAGCTACCTTCGGCGAGTAGCACTCCAACGAGACCGAAACGTCATAAGACTATTCGCCGGAAATCGATGCCCATTCTACATGAGCATTTTGACCCTGGTTCAATGATTCGGGAGATACAAGCTCATAACGACTCAATCACAGCCCTAGATTTCGATGTTCCATTTGGGACCATGGTTACCGCGGCGTTAGACGACAGTGTTAGAGTATGGGATCTGAATGCTGGGAGGTGTATGGGTTTACTTGAAGGCCATACAGCCTCTGTACGAGCTCTTCAGGTAGAAGACAACATTGTAGCCACCGGATCTATGGACGCCACTATTCGACTATGGGATCTCAGCAAAGCACGCTACGAACCCCTGGACAACCGGATCAACAAAGACGGTGATGAGGATGAAGATCATTTAGCTTTTGGAGGCGATGACGAGGCATTTGATCCCCCGGTTGGGACAATGATTGATTGTCCGCTCTTTACGTTAGAAGCTCACGTGGATGAAGTCACGGCGTTGCATTTCAGAGGCGATACACTCATTTCTGGCTCCTCAGACAAGACACTACGGCAATGGGATCTCGAGAAAGGACGGTGTGTACAAACACTAGACGTCATGTGGGCCGCTGCTCAAGCTTCAGCAACCATGGGCTCTAGCGAAGGCACATGGCGACAAACCGGCCGAGTGGCAGACTCATCAGCCGACTTCGTAGGTGCGGTACAAGTCTTCGACGCTGCATTGGCTTGCGGTACAGCAGATGGCATGGTCCGGTTGTGGGATCTGAGGAGCGGGCAAGTCCACCGGAGTCTAGTTGGGCATACGGGTCCCGTGACGTGTCTTCAATTCGACGATGTACATCTGGTTACCGGTAGTGTAGATAGGAGTATACGAGTAAGCAACCTCTATTCCCCAAATAAATCAAGTACTTGCTAACAGTCTCTAGATCTGGGATCTCCGAACTGGAGCCATCCACGACGCATATGCATACGACTCCCCCATCACCAGCATGATGTTCGACAGCCGCCGCATCGTCTCAGCAGCCGGCGAAGACGTCGCGAAAGTATACGATAAGACAGATGGGCGGCACTGGGATGTTGGGTCTGGAGTCACGGCTGAGGAGGAGAGCAGGACGCCTGCCGTTGTCGAGAGGGTGCGCATTAAAGATGGGTATCTGACGGAGGGACGCAAGGATGGTATTGTGGGTATTTGGACGTGTTAGGTGGGCGTATTTTTTTTTGGAAAAGGAGGCGGCTAGGGGTGCGTATGGTATAGAGCAGGAGCGATGCCCATGGTGGGTACTGTAGAAGCGTCTGTCTGTCCTTTGAGATGGATGCTATTGTATGAATATGTATATCTATACTTGTATGATTTTGAGATGGAGATACCGATACCGATACCGATACCGATAACGTTATACATACACACTCGACTTCACCGTTCTCTGGCTGGCTTTCTGGACGGGCTTGAATTCAAATGGGATGTACGGAGTAGGGAAGTATGTATTCATTGTCTTTGCATGTGCGTTTGAATTTGGATTGAAATTGCATTTGAGATTGGATTGAGGAATTCAGAAGCTAGGTATCTTCATTCATGTAGTGTACTACTAGCTAGCTAGCCATATGTTTCCAAGTCTTATCATGTTAAAAGAGCGTATGTGTGCGTGATTGTATGCTTCAAAGAAAACTTAGGGCGTCGATTCGAGGCCACGTCAGTAGGAATGGAATGTAAGTGAAATGAAGTAAGTGCATGTGCGAATTATCCTGGGGTTTCAATGAAAGTATAGTAGCTTCAGTATCTTCAGTATCTCTGTCCATTTTTTGGAAATTTCCGTTTCGATTTCTGTTTTTCCTCGACGGCCAGTCATTCATTCATTCATTCGCGTACAGAGTTCCATGTGGCCCAGGACGGACTTAGTACACGGTATTCAGCTTCCAGCCTACGGCCAAAACTCTCGCCGCTGCCAGGCTGATACCGGCTGCGACGTAAGATAGGCCGGCGAAGATTATCACGCCGTTGTAGTTACCGGAGCAGGCGGTTAGGATTTGACCGGCGATTGGGAGACTGGTTAGTGTGCTGGAGGGTTGAGGCAGTTAGTTATGTGGTGGGTATGGGATGGGGATGGAGGTGAGACAAGCTTACCCGAAAGCGACAAACATCCAACACGTAGCGAAATACCTCCCATAGTTCTCCGTCTTACACATCTGGCCCACGCACACCGGGCTCAAGCTCAGATTGCTCCCACTCGTGAAGCCAAAAATGACAGCGAAGACGACGAGCATGATCGTCGAGTCCCTGGCTGGCAGCCAGAGCGCGAAACACGTCACGACGCACATGGCGATGCTGAGGATAAGCGTGTTCATACGCCCAATCATATCAGCGACCAGGCCCGCAAAGAAGCGTCCAAAAAACGAGCCCGCGTTCAGGATCGCGAGGATCTGGAAGCCAAAGGCAGAGCTGTGGCCGTGCGCTACGGCGTACGATGTGATGTATGTGAGAGGGACGAAGATGCCCCACTCCATGAGGAAGATGCCCAGCGTGACAAAGGTAAACGGCAGGTCCCTGAACACGCTCAGATCCGGCGAGACGGCCTTCCAGCTGCCGATGCTCTTGCGGGGCAGGCGGCTGCGCACGAGTAGGTTGGCGAGGATGAGGAGGAAGAGCACGATGAAGCCGAGGATGCGGGTGGCCCAGGCGAAGCCGACCATGGGGAATAGTCGTTGTAGCATTAGGGGGAAGATTATCCCGCCGATGGACCCGGATGTCATGGCGATGCCGGTGGCGTTGCCGCGTTTGCGGAGGAAGAAGTGCCCGATTGAGGCGATGCAGGGGGTGTTTATTAGACAGCCACCGATGCCGTTTAGGACGCTGTAGACCATGAAGAAGTGCCAGTATTCTGTTGGGGGTTAGCTTTAACGATGAAAGGGGGGGGGGGGGGGGGGAGTACGTACGTGTGCATAGTCCCAGGAGGAACATGGAAGCAACCAAGAGGATACTTCCACAGAAGATGAGGACTCGTGGGCCATATGCATCGAATATCGGACCAATGGGCGCGCCGCAGAAGAAGGTCAGGAACAGGGAAAGTCCAAAGATCCATCCTATTTGACTAGGAGAGTAGTCCTTCAATTGGTTCTCTTGGAAGTACTGCAGGAGAATAGCAGTGCTGTTGATGATTCCAAAGACCGAGAAGGATCCACAGAACGACCCAACAACAACACTCCACCCCTTTAACCCACCCTCGGGAAAGTCATCTTTATCGTCTGGACCCGTGAGAGTCACGTCGTCTACCTCTGGTGCAAGAGTTGGGTGAAAGATCCCCTTTCCGCCTGCTGGTGATGGTGATGAAGAGTTTTGAGTCTCAGCTACAGCAGCTGGACCATCATTCCCAACTACACCGCCTTTCTCGACATCCCTTGTCCTGGGATCATCACCGACGCCGTCATTCTGAGATTGGTGTTTTATAGAGCAGCTGTCCTCTGCTGAATGTGTACCAACTCTGTGCATTCGCCGCACCGAAAAGAATCAGTGGTTGTTTTCACGAGCAATGCGTTTTTTTGTCGTTGCCGGAATAAGGGGGGCGTTGGATGGTTTTATGGAGAAAATATTTTCTGAAAGGCGGGGAGAGGATGAGACAAGATGTTCCATTACGGAGTATCCCCCACTTTCGGCCGGCACCGTTGCTTAGAGTTGTTAGCTTGGAGGCGTGGCGTTGCGAGGCGTCCACGTGATGCAAATGATGTTAGGTAAAAGGAGCCTTTTCGTGCCGTATACTTACTGTATGCGGTCAATAAAGTGTATTTCTCGAGGTGGGTTGTGATTTGTGATTGCTGGGATAGAAACCCTCTTGTTTGATGGTGCCCACTTGTAACTGGTAATGTGACTTCCCCCTACTCTGTGTCTAAATTGGAGAAAGTTTCTGTGAGGACCACGAAAATAGAGATTCGTAAGATATGAAGAGCTTTGGAAACTTGCAGACCTGATCAATTACCCTGGAAGATGTGATGCCAGATAGTACAGTAAAGTGAGTGATTGGGCCGACTCGCGTAGCATGCGAACGATATAAACTACCATGATACTTGAAACGGCCCAAGGAAAAGGATAATTAAGGATTATATATTACATTACTTTCAATCTTCGATTCCAACAGACTTTTTGGCCCATTGTATAGTATCCACCCACTGTTCTTTATCAGTGTTAAAGGACTGTACCAGAGCTCGCACAAGACGTTTCCCAGAACCTTTTGTAAACCATCGATGGGTTAGCAAATGCAAAGCTACTCCATAATGCAAAAAGAATAACACGGCCATAGAATCCTGTGATTCAAGTAAAGTGAAGATAGAGAGGTCGGCTCTCAGTGGCCAGACGAGTATTCCACGCTGGTCCCTTAAATAGCTTTCCAAGCATTCTTGCAATGATGTACAGGAATTTCGGTAGGTCTCTTGGTGCTGTTTATCGCTGTCGTTTATCAATATGTGGAAACGTTCGAGTGCTTGTAGTAATGACCTTTCTCTTATCAGCAAACCTATCACTAGGTTCAGCCAGTGATAGGCCATCATTTGAACTTACTGATGTAATTCGGCCTGTTCTAAATTGTGGAATCTGTAAGAGTGTTAGTGTGCTATGCACTTGGGACATGGAGTAGTTTAACTAACGCCTCCGACCGTAAACGCTCCATCTCATCGGCTGGAGATCCTGATTGAGACCCTGCTAAAGGCTCTGGTGGAGGCAATGGCAAAATGAACGATCTATATCCTCCACTATGTATCACATCCTGTGATTGCAAAACAATATGGCCAATGCCATGAAGCAAGTGGCGCAGACCCAATATCTCAGAAACGGGGTCTGAAGAATCGCTACCATCGGCCACGCTAGGGATTGCAAGAACAAGTACTATCATAAGCATAGAGCTTATAGTGACAGCTTCGCAATTGCTCGGTGTGATTTGAGATAAAGCCTTGTTGAAAGCTAGCAATGCTCGATCCTGATAATCCAGACCAGTACGTAGCCAAGATTTGCTCGTATTGCTTTCTAGATATTCTAGATGCAAGGCCGAGAGCGCCATGATAGTGTCAAGGAGGAAGTCATTTGACAACGCTAATGTTGGGATGCTAATTTGGAGGAAATGGGCGTCTTGTGAATCTTTCCGTATCAGAGCTTTGTAGGTATCGAATGAGAAATGGTGGAAAAGCCTCAGCTCTAATGTTCTGTCCGGCCGAATTCCGTCTCTTTGCATGCTGCCCGGCACACGTTGACCATCACGACCGGTTTCCACGGGCTGGTATTGGCAGCCCATGTCTCGATTTAGACAAGGTCCGCATTTTGGGCGGACTTCATCACACTGTACTAAAGCAGTCAGCGATTATTCTTGAGATGAGAGTTTAATTCGACGCTTGCCGGTCGGCACGGGAAGGAGAAAGAACGCTTGCAAAATCGAATGCTTAAAGAATGTGATTGGATTATGTACACCAGAGCTTAACATAAAGGCCGCCTTTTATAAATACTTTACAGGCTTATGCCGCTTGGTAGGTAAGGCTTTGGGGAGGTATGATATTAGCAGTAGCACCGACCTTCACGTGGCGTTTCTTGCAATTGAGGCCTGTCGCCAAGCAGTCAGTATTTGGGGTGAAGTAGTGAGAATGAAAACAAATCGAGCTATGTATCTAGAGTAGAGAGTGCAGTGAAGATCATTGAGGGGAATTCTCGGGACCCAGAGTTCTTACATCCAGCGCGGGATTTAGAGTGAGTTCGGCGAGCAGGCATGGCTGGCGTGCGGGACGGATGGATAGGTAAGGGAAGGGAAGAGTGAAGTCGTATGAAGAACTACATGATATATATTCTGCTTACAATCTCATTAAAAAAGCAAAAAAAGGAGAGGTCGCGTTCAGGGTCTCAATGGTGGACAGATAAAGCGGCACTCATTGTCCAACCCTTGGGACACTATAAACTCGTGCCGCTTTTCCTGTCCACTGCAAGGCGGGTCCATGCCGGCGATAAGCAGCTCCGCCCAGATGCCAAACGCCTCGCCTAATTTTGGTGGCCATCACTAAAAACACCACCAAAGTATTGAACTCTGTTTAAATTGTCAGAAGTGCGGAGGGCACGTGCTTGTTGTACCTAGGTAGTCTTTACAATACCCTTCATCATGGCCAGATAGGGATTTTTCGTCAAATATTGTCTTATTGTACTACCTTACGGTATATTGCTATGTTCAATTTACCTATGGAAAAGGAAATGCCCAGAACCGCGTCATTGACTGGCTTGGCTCGTTCAAAAATAACGCCTTCGGCCTATGACGTATAGTTACACACAATGAACAGTTGCCAAGTTTGTTTGCTCCTCTTTGTCATTTAAATATAAATACTCTTCTTCTTGTTCCCCTTACACAAACCTTCAATAAAATATCCTATCTACTTCCCAAACATCACCCAAACATCACCCATCATCCCAATTCCATCATGAGCGGAACATCCAACGTCGGCAACTCGCAGGTCTACCAGGCAGACGACCAGAGAACTGTGCCCAACTCTGAGATCGAGCAGCAGAAGAAGGATAACAGATTTCATGAGGGCAAGGAGAATAGCCACAAGGCCAATGACTCTAGTAAGGAATCCTTGTGGAGTGCCGTCTTAAACTCCTTCTGACATATCTTCTACAGAGGATGAGCGATCCATCGCCAACAAGCTAGCCCGTGAAGAAAAGGTTTGTTTAGCTTCAATGCATCACTGCTGTGACAGAGCAAGCAGATGGTCCAAGGCCTCATCATATTAACGTCTTTGCAGAGACAAAACGAGGAAGAATATGAGCCTGAAGAAGTGAAACAGAGCAAGAGAGACCCAACACTGCCAGTGAGTCCTCTTTGTTATTTCCAACCATACTAGTTGTTTTCGCTGGCACCTGTATTCTCTCTTCTTCGTATAACCACTAACATTGTCTTTCGCAGGCCAAGATGCACGGAAACGAGCCCTCCAAGGGAGCCAAGGTCGATGCCGAAATCCAAGCAGAGGAGGAAGAAGAGCTGAGACGAAAGGGAAAGGCGTAAATGTGGCATAACAATGTGAAAGTCTGCTTCGAATGAGTGTGGAAGGCACGAAAAGAATATAGATGATGAGGAACAAGCTTAGAGCTCACTTCATAGGAAAATGTAAAACTAGTAAAATCCACGCTCGGAACAAGCAATGTGCTTTCTTAAGAAATGAACATGTGCCCTTCGGAGCTGTAGAAAAGCGTCTTTCAAACTTCTCACAGAAATGCAACAAGAAAGTTTCCTGTCGATTGTTCTCGTCGATGCATTCCCGCGTAAAATTAGAAGTGTAGCTATATTGGACTCCTGGGTGATAGTATCAAGTTTGCGGGGGGGCGGGATAATCGCGAACGCAGTCGCCTAGAACTGAACATACCTAGGTACTCTCGTACCTTACTCCGTTGCTATACTTGTATGGAAATCCAGTCAGTTTTCGTACGCAATCTGACTCACCCCCTACCTTCTTTAGACCACTTTGCAGCTTGTGGACATTCTCAACTGTCCCCAGCTGCTTCATAGCTTCCCCCTCGATGACTTCCCCTAGATGACTTCCCGCCTTCCATCATGGGACAAGGCTTCTCTCTCACGTCCCTTTCCGCGGGGTCTGCAGGCATAGATGTGCCAGAGCTTGCAGATCTCGTGTATGAAAAATCTATGGGAACTGCCAGGTTTATGAAGAGCATTCGAGCGCGGCATCAAGACGGAGTCGTGCTTGTCAAAGTCATTGTTAAGCCATATACCATGCGCTTGGAGAAGTACAAGCGCATGATAATTAGTGAGTAGATAAAGCGCCTCTAGCAGATTGCCTTCTAATCTGTTGTTATAGAGGAGAGAAAAGCTTTGGCAGATGTCCCCAATGCCCTTGCTTACCAGCGAATCGTGGAGACCGAGACGAACGGATTTCTCGTTCGACAGTACCTACATAGCTCTCTATACGATCGCATGAGCACACGTCCCTTCCTAGAAGATATCGAAAAGAAATGGCTTGCTTTCCAGCTCCTCTGCGGCCTCCGCGATTGTCATGCTCGGGACATATTTCATGGTGATATCAAGACGGAAAACACCTTGGTCACCTCTTGGAACTGGCTATACATGTCAGACTTCTCATCATCATTCAAGCCTACGCATTTGCCAGAAGATAATCCAGCCGACTTCTCCTATTTCTTCGATACTGCTGGACGAAGAACATGTTACCTTGCACCGGAGCGGTTTCTAGCTGCGGATGAGACCCTAGATCCCAAGGCGCCGGTTACATGGGCTATGGATGTGTTCAGTGCTGGCTGTGTGATCGCGGAACTGTTTCTTGAGGCGCCTATTTTCAACCTGAGCCAATTGTACAAATACCGAAAACGCGAATACGACCCTGTTCTCACCCATCTTAACCGCATTGGGGACGAAAATATTCGAGAGATGATAAAACACATGATCTCACTCGACCCGGAATCAAGATATTCTGCACAAAACTGTCTTGACATTTTCAAGGACATCATCTTTCCGGAGTACTTTTACAGTTTCCTCCATCAATACATGGGTCTAATCACGGATCCATCATCTGGAAGGGCACCCATCTCTGGAGCTTCCGCAAATCTGGGAGAGGCAGACGAGCGAATAGACCGAATATACTTTGATTTTGACAAGATATCATATTTTTTGGGCTACGGAAACGAAAAACAAGCCCCAAACACCCCCTCTCAAAATAAGCCTGGCTTGGAGCTTTTCCCGGTCCATCTCAATATTCCAAACAATGAACATCAAGCCTCCCTGACTAGCGGGAAAAAGCCAACAGATGATGGGACGCTCATATTCCTAGCTTTGGTTGTATCTTCTCTTCGAAATACTGCTCGAGCATCCGCCAAAGTACGGGCCTGCGACATCCTCTTGGCTTTCTCAGAGCGACTCACAGATGAAGCAAAGCTTGACAGAGTCTTGCCTTACTTTGTTTCGCTTCTGAATGACAAAGCGGATATTGTGAGGATAGCGGCCATTCGCTCGCTGACACAGCTTATGGCTCTTGTAACTGTCGTATCGCCTGTAAACGCCCATGTATTTCCCGAATACATTTTACCTCGTATGAATGCTTTTCTCCCAGGGTCACCTTCGGAACCTGGATCTTTAGTTCGAGCAACATATGCTGCTTCCTTAGGTAGTCTGGCGAGTTCTGCCTCGCGATTTCTCGACATGGTGGCTACTTTAAGAGCTGATGGATCCCTTCCCACCGCGGACCCCGAGACAGAGGATGGGACCAATGGCGACGCTTCTTTTCAGGGACTCTTTGATAACACCCGAGCAGAGCTCATCGAAGTGTTTGAGAGCCACACAAAAGCTCTGATCACTGATAGTGACTCAGCTGTCAAAAGAGCCTTTCTCGGCTCTGTTCCTGAGCTTTGCATGTTCTTCGGAACGGCGGATTCGAACGATATCATTCTCAGCCACTTGAACACATATCTCAACGACCGGAATTGGATGTTAAAATGCGCATTCTTTGAGACCATCGTTGGAGTTGCCACTTTCCTCGGCGGTACCAGTCTGGAGGAGTTCATTCTACCATTAATGGTTCAAGCTCTGACGGACACAGAGGAGTTTGTCGTACAAAGAGTCTTGCATTCCTTTGTAAGTATGGCAGAGTTGGGCCTCTTCCAACGATCAAAGACCTGGGAACTCGTCGACATCGTGGGCCGTTTCACGATGCATCCCAACATTTGGATTCGCGAGGCCGCTGCAATGTTTCTTTCAGCTGCGACCTTATGGTTGTCAGTTGCGGATAATCATTGCATCATTCTGCCACTTATAAGGCCATATTTGAAGACTTCCATCGAAGATTTTTCGGAAATTGGAGTCCTCGACAATCTGAAGAAACCTATGTCTAGGGCAGTTCTTGACTTGTCAATAACCTGGGCTTTGAAGGTCGACAGGGGAATTTTTTGGAAGCCTGTAAATCAACTCCGTACCTTCTCTTTTAATTCAAACAGCTTGATACCCTCTATATCTGCCAAAGATCTTGGCCATCACGCTCTCCAGAAAGTACCGAAAAATGAAGAGGATGAGCAATGGTTATCGAAACTTAGGAACATGGGCCTTGGCCATGAAGATGACTTCAAACTCCTTTGCCTAAGAGAATACATATGGCGTCTGGCTCCCTCCAAAGCCCGCGACGCTTCTCGACACGCAACTTACCTTAATAGTGTTATCAATCTTCGCAGTATTGGCATTACCCCCCAAACTGTCATGTTTGACGATCAGCAGGCCATGGAGGAGCCAAAACCCCAAGCTAAGAAGGCTTTACAAGGGAATGACCAGGCACCGCATACCATCGCAGACGCTTTGCTCGATGCATCGATGACAATTGATGATTCTATCGCTAAAAGACGGCGCTCTGCATACAACAGCCACAAGACCCGAGTGAACACTCCAGGTGGGACTTCACCAGTCGCTTCTAATGGGCGCGATTCTCAATCACCCACGTCAGAATCTCCTGTTCCATCTTCAAGCCCTCGAGAATTGGATATCCCGGGAGCAGCAGCAGGTTCTCGGAGACAGTCAACCTTAAATGGCACGGCTAAGAATAGCGACGATGAAGGGGCTTCACTGCCTGACACTACATTGAGCGCGAATTCTAGGGAACTCGTTCGCGGAATGAAGCATCGACCTAGTGCGATGAACCTGATGAGTCGCAAAGACACAATTAAGTCTATAGCTGAGACTAGTACAACTTCAACCAACGCATTTGGCAAGGTAGAAGGGCCATTCTCGCATCCGGGAGCAGAATCTTCCGCCTTAGCATTAGCAAAAGAAAAGGAAACGGCCGCCAAAGACACGATTAGGTTCAGAGGCGCTCATACTTACGCTGGTAATGATCCCAGTATACTGAAAATGCTGGATGCGATGTATGTGGACAACTATCCAAATGACGTCGCAGCGTTTGGGCCAATGATCATACCATCTAGTCGGCGGAAAGGGATCAACAAGAGCAGTAGTCAGTCTTCGGATCGACCGTGGAAGCCTGAAGGGATTCTTGTTGCCACATTCTCTGAGCACGTTGGGCCTCTGCGCCATATAGCAGTTGCCCCTGACCACGTCTTCTTCCTCACTGGAGGTGACGACGGTTGTGTAAAGGTCTGGGATACGGGGAGACTTGAGCGCAACATAACCCACCGATCTCGCCAGACTCACAAGCATGCCAGCGATGCGAAAATCACTGCTTTATGTTTCGTCGAACATACCCACTCTTTTGTTAGCTGTGCAAGTGATGGCACCATCAACGTAGTTCGGGTCGATTGTATCCAAACCGGCGGCTCGATGCGATACGGTAAGCTCCGATTGCTGCGAGAGTATCAGCTGCCTAAAGGTGAAATGGCTGTATGGTCAGATCACTTCAAGATCGAGACAAGTTCTACCTTACTCATCTGCACAAATCGATCTCGAGTGCTGGCAATAGATCTACGGACCATGGAAGTTATCTATACCTTGGACAACCCAGTGCATCATGGAACCCCGACATGCTTTGTTATTGACAAAAAGCGACAATGGCTATTGCTAGGAACGTCTCATGGTGTTCTCGACCTTTGGGACCTGCGCTTTAAAGTCCGCCTAAAGGGTTGGGGCATTCCAGGTGCTACGTCTATCTACCGCTTGTCTATACATCCTACCAGAGGTCGAGGGAGATGGGTATGTGTTGCTGGTGGCAGCGGACAAGGAGAAGTCTCTGTCTGGGATATTGAGAAGACTCAATGTAGAGAGGTTTATCGTGCTGGGGGAAGTCGAGATGGGCCAAAAACCTACGATCCTTGGCCAGTTGACGAAGACCGTCCGGAGGGCATGTTGGGACGTTTTGCAACAGCTTTAGAACCTACCGGTTCAAGCAGCTCTGATTGTGGGATACGTGCCATGCTAGCGGGGACGGACAATTACGATGATTCGCGTGAGTCAAAGCATGGGTTCCTCATTACAGGAGGGTCGGATAAAAAGATCCGATTTTGGGATCTTTCCCGTGTGGAGAATTCGATGGTGGTCAGTGGGCTAGATGCTGAAGAGCTGAAGCCATCATTTACTGCTGCACACCCAACAGCTTCTCTAACACTGAACACTGAGCGTATCCCACGACCAGGCCCGACCGCACCCAATGCTGCAGCTGGCTCTCGAACTTCAGGTACCAGCAAAGTGTCTAGTACGAAACCTCCGAGATCTACTGTGATATCCCTTCAACAGCAACAGTTGCTGAGAACACATTTGGATTCCATTCTCGACATTGCTTTGTTAGAATTGCCTTATGGAATGCTTGTTTCAGTTGATAGATCAGGCGTTGTATTTATATTCCAGTAGAAATTGGGAAGTATTTGGAAGGCGTCTGAAGGACTTCATACATCGGCGTCAGGATCAGATACAGGAGGTGGGGCTGAATGTGATTATAATATGGCTACTGGGTCTGAAAGACTATAGCTCTACATGCTATGGGAAAAAACACCTCATTTGTTGTATTAGTCAGATAAAGTATTTAGAATTTAATTAGAACTTTAATTGACATATACATTTATCTGATGTTCTGCGTGCGTGCCAGCAAGCCAATTCGAGCTAGTGCGAAAACCGCGCCTAAATATTTCGAACCTCGAAAAACCATAGAGGGGAACATCTTCAGCCTCGTTTCGTCTCCCCCCTCCCTTCCACACCACAAGAAACAGCGCCCAAATCCATGCCAGCTAAATCTCATACCTTCAATCAAAATCGAAAGAACACACGGAACTGTCGCAGCCTCATAATTCGAAAGAAGACACGAAACTGCAGGTAAATAGGTCGCAATGAGGCTCACAACAGAGCTCATCCAAACGTCCCTCTCCTACCTCAACCCGCTCAAAGAGCGAGAGCTAGATCTACGAGGTGCGTATAGTCTGGAAAGAACATGATGCTACACTTTGAGGCGAGCTGCGTTGATATCAGTTTTTTGGGATTGCAGGACATAAGATACCGGCTATTGAGAATTTGGGTGTCGCTGGCGTACGTTCCCCTCGCATTTCCCTTTACTTTCCCTTTCACATTATGGTTTTGGTTTTGGCTAGCAAGGGTATTTTTGAATGGGATATTTCCACTGACAAAACTTATATGCTGCATATAGCCTCACGATGCCATCGATTTCACCGACAACGATATCCAGCAGCTAGGCAACTTCCCGCTGTCTCCACGCCTACGAACCCTCCTCCTGGCGCGCAACCGCGTCTCCAGTATCCAGCCCTCGCTCGCGCACGCCCTGCCGAACCTGTCGACGCTCGTGCTGCATGCGAATAACTTTGCGGAGCTGGCGGATCTGGATGTGCTGGCTAGTTTTACGGGGCTGACGCATTTGGTGTTGAGTGAGAATCCGGTGACGAGGAAGGAGGTATGTATGGTTGGTTTCGTTTGTTTGGTTGTTTGGGTGTGGGAGGTTTGGAGATTTGATTGGCGTGGACTAACTGGGGTGTTTACTTCAGCATTATCGAACTTGGGTTGTTTGGAGGTGTCCTTCGGTACGCTTTTTAGATTATAAGAAGGTTAAGGATGCGGAGCGCGAGAAGGGGAAGGAGATATTCGGGACACATAAAGAGCCTTCTATCCTGGCTTCCAAGGTCAGTCTCTCCCCACCATCTCAATACTCTGCGTGCAAGTAACTAACTTCCCCTTCCCTTGCAAGATCATGGGAGTCAAGTCCAAGACCTTCGACACGCCCTCAGCAAACGGTGTTTCGGCCATGGCGACCTCGAAGAACTACCGCGTGAAGCTCACAGATAAAGAACGCAAGAAAGTCGAGGAGCTGATTCGGAACGCGAAGAGCCTGCAGGATATCCAGCGTCTAGAGAGGGAGCTTAATGAGGGACGAGTTCCGGCTGCCGCGCAGGGCGATGATGCGATGGAGGAATAAGACATTTCTCTCTCACGAAGGGGGGTAGATTGACAGATATACTGCATACCAATGGCGTTTGGGTTGGTATTTAACGAAAAGTACGTACGTACGGGCGTTTACTTGCAAGGCAAGCTCCTTGTATAAAGTAAGCTAGCTTTTTGTAAAATATCAAAAAGCACAGGAAGGGAGGAAGGGAATTTGCAAAACATAGAATGATGAAATATTCATTCATTCATGAATCAATCAATCAATTCTTTTTCCCCACCCATAACAAACATGCATGTGGATCCATCCATCCTTAATAGCATTCAATCAATATAAATACAGCGAGCCATCAATCATTCATCAGCTAGCTCATGTCCACGTCCTCCTGCCCATTCAACCCAGTACTCAATCTCGCTCCCGCCCCCCTACTCTCAATCTCCAACTGCGTATTCGGATCAGCATCAACATCCCCATCAAGTAATTCCGCATCCCCATTAACAGCACCGTTACGATTGCCATTCGCCACAGCCACAGCCACAGGAAATGCCTTGCTATCAAGCATCGTTTGACCAGTCTCTACACTACCACTACCGCTGCCGTTGCTGCTGCCGCTAGCTTCACCGTTCGCTACCGTTGCTGCGGAGGCAAGGGTGGAGGAAGAGGGCTTCTTGCCTTTGGCGCTGGCTTTGGCTTTTATTTCTGCGAAGGGCACGGTGCGCGGGACGATGTCTTCGAGGAATTGGAGGTTGTCGAGTTGGGCTACTGCTTTTGCTGGGGGGGAGCAGGGGTGTTAGATGGAGTGGTGGAAGGTGGGGGAAGGAATGGGGAATGCGGGATGGATGGATGTTTGGGGGGGAGAAGGGAGGGGGGAGGTACATAGATCTCGGTATTGGATGTTACGACGAGGTTTCTTTTCAGATTTAACGACGTTGTGACCTTGTTCAGCTAGGTATTGGATGAATAGTTCCTAGGGCTGTGTTAGGTTCGGTTGAGCTGGGATGGGATGGGGAGAAGAAGTGATGGGATGGGGATTAGTGGGGCGTACGGTTGCGAGGGTGAGGACGAAGGCGGCGCTATTGGCACAGACGGCTATGTCTTGGTCTTGCATTATCATCTTTCGTACTCGCGATACTGTCTTTGTTAGATTTTGGGGGCATGGAATGGAATGAGAGGAAGGCGAGATCGAAACTTACGGGGAAGCTGTGTAGTGCCTGAAGGTTCCCGGCGAGGGGGGATAGCGGTGGTATTGTAGGGCATCGTGGCTGAGAGAGAGGAAAAGAAGGACTGGAATGGATTCAGAGGTTGTGGAATCTTTTGGTTACTAAAAAGAGTACTGTGGCGGAATATAACTGATGGGAGTCTGGAGTCTGGAGTTAGTGTATGCGTGAGACTCGAGAAGGATTTTGAGAAATGTGAGTATCTGGGTATGTGAATCCCTTCGGCGAATCATAAAGAGAATAGAATGTACAAAACTCAGCCGTAGTGTGATAAAAAAAGGGTCAATACAAACATAATACAGCGCTTGAATCAGAGATTGTCAGACTCAAGCTAGCTATAGATGGAGAAAGTTTGAGAGAAGACAAAGAGCACTTGGAAAAAACACAGAAGATATAAAGGACTAATGACTTTCAAGCAAGAAATAGACTTACTTTACTCTCGGCTTTCGGAGAAGAGTTTGAGGGTTTCCAAAATGTGATCGGTGTGATCCGAGTCAGGTAGCTAGCTATAGCCTGGTGTCACTGGCTATTCAGGGGCTGTCAGCTACATTTCATTTTCATTTTCATTTTCTTTAAACAGCTTCAGAGATGTTGTGATGATCTAGAGACACGTACCTGTGTATTTGCTGGCTCGTTGTTGATTCCCGTCGCGTGGTATGCGTTGAAAGATAAAATCGAGGGAGGTCACGTCGCGAAGTCCTTGAGCAATGAAAGCAATACCTAGGTAGGTGGGGTGGGCCGGGTCAGGTGACTAAACTGTCCCTCCTTTTCGCAGCGGTCAGCCGTCTCTTCAGCCATCGCCCGCGCTTTGAGAAAAGAGAGCAAATCTATCTACCGCCAATTCCTAACAAACCAACATTGAAAATCCGAGTGAGTGATTTTGGTCGAATAACGAATCCTGAGACGCATCGTATCATTACGTAGGTAGGTAGGTAGGTAGGTAGGTAGGTGTGGCTGTGCAGCAGGATTCGCTCAATCTCGCAGTCGGCAGTCAACCGGCAGTACAACAAACAAACAGTACAGTATAAATATACCTCTTACAAATTCTGGACTACCGATACTCAAAGTCTTCGAGCGACAGCAAGTTATTGTTAAAATGAATTCACCCCTGGCCTCTCCTTTCGGGAAGGCTCGGACAAGTAGGATGGAAGGCGTAATAGAGAGAGCCTGGGAGGTAAGTTCATCGAGCTTGCCTATTTGATGAGGGTTGATCTAAACGATATCAGGATTACCGTTTACTATTCAAAGCTTCAGCTCAACTGAAACCCATTTGCAATCAAATTGTTTCCATGATAGGGTCTTTGCATTTGATCGATGACCATCTCCAAACCGGAGATCTTTCCACCAGCAATAGAAAAGCTCTCCGGGATGTTGAAAGCTGGTGTCATAATGCTCTATCGAGCTTGGAAGCTGCTTTGACCACCGCGAGGTCCGATATCAGTCATGATCGTTTTAAAGTACTTCAAAGCAAAGTTCTGGACCCAGCCAATAAGCTTTCGGACTTCGTTGAGCTTCTACGAAGGTATGTCATTTCTAACCAGACCGTCTGAATCTCTATATATCCTGCGTGGTGGGTCCCAAGGAAGAGGGTCGTTTTCCATAATTCATCAATACTTCAAATCCACCTCTTTCTTCAATAGAAGTCAATTAAAGTCCGGGGTTTAAAATCACCTGATACATCAAGAACTTCCAAGATGGGAGAGTCAACAGGGACCATGCTTAGTGATGCACCCGGAACTTCTCAATCACGCCTTCCATTGATTTCAAAATGTTAATCCTTCCTATTCTAGGGATCGACAGAAAACTATGGAAGAAATATTATCACAAATGATCGGTGAAATGCAATCCACCAATTCTCAGCAGTCGGTCGTCACGGAATGGTCAGTCTTGGAGGCTAAACTTGAGAAGCTCGGTCTTCCGAAAGAGGTCATCGAGGAAGAGTTCTTCTTTATTAGTGATTGGCTAAAGGAGAACTCCTTAGAACAGGTAGAAGAAGACGTGGAAGATGCGGAAGACGTTGCAGACGTGGAAGCAATAGAAGACGAAGAGCTTCCAGACTACGCTCCTGGAGAAGAACGAAATCCCATTGATGAAAAGGTGCAAGTTTTAGATGAAATGGCGAGAAATGTTGCTACCGATGAGCCTGTCGCCACGTCTTCGAAAGCGGAGCCTCCACCGTACACATTCGAAGAAGGCACCGACGAACCAATAATCGATAGCGAATTCTCACATTTCATTCAAACAGCAATAGCTACTGACGCTGATGTCCGATTGCTAAAGAGAAAACTACATCCAGAATTGGGGCCCCATCCGACTTCATGGTTGCCCAAGTTAGTTCAGGCACAATTCGAAGATTCGAGAGACATTATTCCAATAATGCCTGCTGACTCTTTCACGGCGATGGCGTACGAGACAGCACCGAGGTGTGTCGACGAGATAGAGCGACTGAAGCGCTTATTGCGAACATCTTCTGCGTTCAAACAGAACATGCACTCTGGAGTCGGTAAGATTTTGGCGTTCCATTATCATGAGCATGTTATAAAACCTCTTCCTCAACACTCAAAACCCCGCACGAGTTCCTCAAAACACCCAAATCCTCACGCATCTAAATATTGTTTGACTTGGAGCTAATTCCTCGCTTTTGGCAGCCCATGAAGCGTTACAGGCTCTGGAAGTGATGTCCACTGCTCTATTGAAATTTCTCTTGCTTCAGAATCAGAAATCGGCAACCGACAACTTCAGTGATCTGGATGTACTAGATTTCGAGTTTAGTACAGCTGTAGTGCTAGACGCACGCTTGCCCTTCCCGGATAGAGAGTTTGAACTAGCCCAGTAAGTTGGTCAAATCATTTTACTTTATTTGTGACGGTAGTTGCAATAAGGGTTTCTGCCAAGTCTGCAGAAATGTGCCTTATAAGTCCACCCGAATAATTCTTGAGTTGTTCACGCCTTGGTGATTCCCAAAATGCAACTAATGATATCCGGTAGGAAGAGTTACTACCAACTTCTCACTTACGTTATGGGGTTTCTGGAAGCAATCTCTGTAATATTTCCTGGACGGACTTACGTTTCAGCCCCAGTGGTAAGATTTGTCTCTTTTTCATTATATCATGTTTTCGGCGCCTCTGAACAAGAATATGTCTCATTTCCTATGAAAGTAAGACTAATGCGCCATTTTAATGTTGTAGGAACAAATTGAATTCTCATGGAAAGACAACCATATGAGCACGCGAGTAGCTTTTGTAGAAAAGCAGTTAGCGGCCTGGGATAATGTCGAATCTGCTACACATTTCTGCCGAAATTGGTATTCAACACGCCCTATGATTCGTCAGGAAGCACTTGCAGCTTTAGAAAAGTGGCAGAGATCAGAAATGATCCTTTCCGGAAGCGAGCAAATGGACTCGATCGAGTTAACCGTTGTAAGTGCTACGGGCTTACCAAAGTCGAATTTCAGAACCTCGAATGCTTGGGTTAAAATGGTACATTACGGTCCCAACCAATTTGGCGGTTACTTGAGGACGTTTGACCTTAAAACCGACGTCTCAAAGGCGACGCAAAATCCCGTATGGAACAAGAAGTTCTTGCTCGAAATCTCAAACCAGACAAAGCTGCTTGATTTTGAGTTGTATGATCGGGTGGCGGGGATTGATACGCAGTTATGCAAATACAGGATTTTCTGCTCGTTCGTACCAGGGGTTGAGGCGAGCCTTGCAAACAGAAGCTTGCTGTATGGGATTGACGGTGAGTCAGCACCACAATGATCCCATGTCCTGTGGGAATCAGCAGTCTTCTTTCACTCTATTCCTTGTTCAACATTGCTAATGTTCCTATAGAGGAAGTCGACTTTCCCCTGAAATTCCTCTCAGGGAAAGGCAAGGAGAGAGAGCCGCCCTTGCTGAGGCTACGTTTGAACTGGGCCGGCCGTATCGCCAAAGCAGAAGCACTTGCGCTCCCTACGCACCCTCCGGGAAAGATGTTTCGGCCGGATATGACACCCGTTCCAATGAGCCCAGAAGAAAAGGTAAGCGACAACCTATGGCTCTCTGGCACAATACTATGGAACCCTCTGAGAAAATGAAATAATGCTGATGAATTCGCCCTTCTACAGATAGCTGCGAAAAACCCACCACGCCCGAGGCAAGGATCTCTTCCGCAATGGGGTAGTGCGGGCGAGGGGAGTGAGGCGGTGGCTGTACACAATGCGCGAAATGCGCGCAGGCCCTCAATGCCAGTGACCAGCGGCAGCTTGAATACTTCTGGTCATTCCCTCTGAAAGAGTGAAGTGAAAGACTCTGGATATATTCTAGTCTGCATGTCGACAATCCAGAGTAGCCTGGACTGCTTTTTATGTGTACAAACAACATTGGGTCTGCAACTGTAAACCCACAAAAGGCGAAAGCAGGAAATGGGGTGTTTTTAATTCGTTTTTTTTTTTTGAGGGCTTCTGAACATGAGTCCTGGTGTAAGCACAGCTAATTTTTGGTTCACCTGATGAGTACGGGAGTCAAAAAGTAACCCTCCTGTTAGTCGGAGACCCAAGTAGTTCAAACCCAGCTTTTTTGTGGAATATAAAAAGCTGTTTATTCCCCTCTATACTGGTTTTCATTACTTTGAGACACACAAGTCGTGAGCTTGAGCATTTTATTTCAACGTAGTAATCCTGATTTTAGAGCACATTATAGCTCCCTGATTCATTATGAGACAACGCTTGGGTGAATTATGTTTTGTTTCTTCCCTGTTCTTCCCCCCACCCTCGAAAATCCGACGTAGCATTATGGTTGCTACTCGTGTTTCCTATATCATGTATAAGAGTTTGACGCCGTCTTTAATGTACCGAGCAATGAACCCAGTATCCGCTATCCCTCAATAAACACAATACATATTCCGCTACCTAAGCTTACGTGTTTTGTTTATTCCATGATTTACCTGCGGCTAGCTGAATGAATGAATGAAATGCGGGATTGAGGGATTTACATACATTCTTGCAAACGGGTTGCGAGAAGAATGGAAATCGGGGGTAATTGTGGGTTAGCCGATCGAGACGTGAATGAGAGAAAGGCAACGGTATCTATACCTATAAAAGGAAATGGGTTCGAGGTCTGAGGTGTCAGTGGTAATGCGGGCATTATGATTTGTGCCGAATACTAATATGATGCTTGGTGGCTCAGGGTCTATTTCTATTTCTCTTCTTCGCGGCTGGATTGGAAGGATATAATACTAGGCTTTTGGAATTAACTGGCTGCTATTATTTTCGGCTGTGAACAGCAGTTCAAGCATTTGTATTATCGCGCTTGGTGTATTATGATAGTATAAGTGTTTGTCTCGATAATTCCGTTCCGCTTGGTAGCAATTTCAAACTCGGACGAACTATCGGGAAGTAACTTGACAGTAATGCGCTGACTGCGGGACAACGGCTTTTAGGCAGCATAATATGAAGACGGATAAGTGTGGAAATGGTCCGGGGTTCACTGGGGATTCGTTTTGCTGATGCTGTTGGTGGAGAGGGAATAGGTTGTGTGTATCACAACGATTTGAGGAGGGGGAGTTTGAGATGCATGTTGGAACTTGGGAGTATGTTTGTCGTTAAGGGCAGATTACAGACAACTCTATTACTATGCATCTGAACGATGTTTCCTGAAGGATAAGGCCAGAAAATCCTAGGGAAATACATGTGCAATGGCTTGGTGTTGTCTTGAACGTGACAGAATTACTAAAAACCATCTCTCGTCAAAATGAGTATTCTAGGGATTAGGTACCCTCAAATTGTGCATACAGTCTTACTCATTAATAGGAGGACATTTAAAAATTCATCAATCTCAAAACAATTCGATAATGGCGAGAGCGGTGAATGTTTACATGAAGAAGCGAATTTCGGTTATCCTTTTCAACCAGAATAAAGAATAAGGAGTTGCAAAAATCAACCTGAAAAAGGCAACAAAAAGAAAAGGGTAAGATACCCAATCCGAAGAGAATTAACATAAAATAAAATGCAAAAAACTAACAACCAGGACTGCTATGATCGACAACTCTAAGGTGTATTCAGCCTTGTAGGTCGAGCCAAGTGGATCCAAGCCGGAACTGATATAAGTGTTAAATGCTTGTTAACGATGCAATACTAGGTACTGCATTGGTACCACATTGACGAAAAAAGTGCTTATTCAATATTATATACCCCAATTGCTAAACTTCGGCAATAATCAGATGATATCGAGAATTCAAATGCTTTGATGTGACTGAAAGGGGATATACCAACAAAATACGCTAGCGGCCGCGTCTTTCAGATGTCGACGACTTCGATAGCTTCCAGGCGCTCATCATCACGCTGCTGGTTGGATATTTTACACCACAACAACATAAATATGACGACGCAGCGCATAGGGCCATGAACTCTCGATCGTCCTCGGTCAATGAGCCCACGCCTGGCGTTCATCGACGTCCGTCCGTCTCCTCCCGACTGTCCTTTGCGATTTCGAATGCCGAGCAGGGCCAGGCTGGAAATGCGCCCAATGTTGTCGAGCACCAGATAGACGAGGAGATTGAGGAGATTAAGAGATATAAGGTATGCGCGCCCATCTCACACTCTGGATATGGGGTAGATGGATGTTAATTCTTGACAAGGACTTTACAACAATAGGTAACTCCGGAACCATGTTGGTTGTGACGCTCGATTAATCACTGCTCCAGATTGGGTCCAAGATGCCGCGAAGGAACAGATACGGCGGAAGGTTCGACGGAAGGAAACTGCGGGCTTCTTTGAGAGAGGGGGTCGAGCTGGCTGGAGATATAAGATATGGGAATCCTACGAAGCGGCGCAAGGTTGGATTGTGGTTACCCTGATAGGAGCTGCCATTGGACTGAATGCTGCGATCCTCAATATTATAACGGAATGGCTTTCAGATGTGAAGTTGGGCTACTGCAAAACCGCTTTTTATTTGAATGAGAGCTTTTGTTGTTGGGGAGAGGATAACGGTAGGTGGGAACACTGGGTTGGGTGAGCTTTGGCTGAGAGGGTATAGGTTGCGATGATTGGCATCGATGGAGCTCTTTCGCTCCCGTGAATTATGTGTTGTATATTATGTTTGCTGTGGGTTCCTCTCCGAATCTTCTCCAACTTGACTAACAGAAATAGACAATATTTGCACTCACTTCTGCTAGTCTAGTAAGGTCATTTGCACCATATGCCGCAGGATCCGGCATATCAGAAATCAAGTGCATCATAGCTGGTTTTGTTATGAAAGGATTCCTTGGCTTCTGGACTCTGGTCATCAAATCAGTAGCCCTTCCCCTTGCCATTGCATCGGGATTGTCAGTCGGGAAGGAAGGACCGAGTGTCCATTATGCCGTGTGTACCGGCAATGTCATTTCAAGACTGTTTGAAAAGTACAAACGAAACGCTGCAAAGACGAGAGAAATTCTCAGTGCCTGTGCTGCAGCAGGAGTAGCCGTAGCTTTCGGCAGCCCGATTGGAGGAGTGCTATTCTCGCTCGAAGAAATGTCATCGTACTTTCCCCTGAAAACGATGTGGAGGAGTTACTTCTGCGCGCTGGTCGCGACTGCCACTCTATCATTGATGAATCCCTTTCGGACCGGCCAGTTGGTCATGTTCCAAGTTCGATACGATCGATCATGGCATTTCTTCGAGGTCTTGTTCTACATAGTTATTGGCATATTTGGGGGACTTTATGGAGCCTTTGTCATAAAGTGGAATTTAAGAGCGCAGGCATTTCGAAAGAAATACCTCACCAAATACGCCGTGCTGGAAGCAACATTATTGGCTACTGGGACTGCCATTATTTGTTATCCAAATATGTTCCTCAGGATAGATATGACTGAGAGCATGGAGATTTTGTTCTTGGAATGTGAGGGGGCTGAAGATTACAATGGGATTTGTGATAGGAAAAATAGATGGAGGATGGTCCTCTCCCTAGCCTTGGCGACAGTTATACGAGTGTTCCTCGTCATCATCTCATATGGCTGCAAAGTGCCAGCCGGTATTTTCGTGCCGTCTATGGCCATCGGGGCTTCATTTGGCAGGACCGTTGGTATATTGGTTCAAGCACTCCACGAGGCTTATCCAGCTTCCGTATTCTTTTCGGCCTGCCAGCCAGATGTCCCATGTATCACGCCTGGCACATATGCCTTCTTAGGAGCAGCAGCAGCGCTCAGCGGTATCATGCATATTACCGTATCCGTCGTTGTCATCATGTTCGAGCTTACCGGAGCCCTCACATACATCTTACCCACCATGATCGTGGTCGGCGTCACCAAAGCAGTCAGCGAAATCTTCGGCAAAGGCGGTATCGCAGACCGCATGATCTGGTTCAACGGCTTCCCCTTCCTCGACAACAAGGAAGAACACACCTTCGGCGTCCCCGTCTCCCAAGTCATGACCAGCGACCTCACCTTCCTGCCCACGACCGGCCTCGCCATGAAAGATGTCGAGAAGCTCCTCCTCGAAGACACGTACCAAGGCTTTCCCATCGTCGAAGACCGCACCTCGAAAATCCTCGTAGGCTATATCGGCCGCACCGAGCTCCGCTACGCCATCGACAGAGTCAAACGCGACCGCTCCATCAGCCCAACAGCTAAATGCTACTTCAGCCCCCCCGCCTCCTTGAATCCCACGACTCCAACATCCTCCGCTGTCACATTTGAAGGCATGGCCTCCTCGGCCGTCGACTTCTCCCGCTTCATCGACGCCACGCCCGTGACCGTGCACCCGCGCCTCCCGCTCGAAACAGTCATGGAGCTCTTCCGCAAGATCGGCCCGCGCGTAATCCTTATCGAATACCATGGTAAGCTGACCGGGCTCGTGACCGTCAAGGACTGTCTGAAGTACCAGTTCAAGGTCGAAGCGAGCGAGAATCCGAGGGATGATCGGCATTTGGTCGAGGGGCAGGAGAGGCTGTGGGGCGTGCTGAAGAAGGGGGCTGGGTGGATTAGTGAGCAGCTTCATATTGTTAGTCGGGGGAAGATAAGGATTGGGAGTGGGAGTGCGCAGGAAGAATTGAGGTCGCCAGTAAGGGGGCATGGGAATGGTAGTGGTAGTGGGCCGACGAGTTATATGATGGATGGGACGGAGACGGATGGGGTTATTGACGATGGGGTGGAATTGGAAGATAGATAGATAAATAGATAGATAGATGAATATATGATTGATTTGAATAGATCTGTGCGATTTGAATATATACAGTAAAACCCCGTCCGTCCCTTCCCCTTCCTCCTCCTACCCCCCATCTCACTCACCAACCTACTCATCCCAAACAACACTAGTAACCTCCCCCTCCACATCCACCTCCGCCACAAACCCACCCCACGTCCCCGCCTGCACATCCCTCTCTATAATAACCACGCGCCCACTCTCCTGCAACCCGACCGCCGCCAGCCGCCCATCGCGACTGACGGAAAACTGCCGCGGGAACGACCCCCCCGCCGCAGCTAGCTGCACGAACGCCAGGCTCCCTGTCTGCGCATCGATGGCCCAGCTCTGCAGAGAGTCGGAGCGTATCAACGCGGTGCTGTGGTTTTTGCTGGTGTCGAAGGGGGGGATCAGCAAGGTGCTGTCATTGCGGCAGGATGTTAGGAAGAATCTGGCGTCGGGCTGTTGGGGGGTTGGGGGTGTCAGTTAGGTTGTTTTTATTATATATATATAATCATCTCGATCAAGGTCCCAATCAAAAATGTTTGTTCATTTTGTTCTGTAGGGTGAGGAGAGAAGGGAAGGGAAGAGAAGAGAAGAAAATTGATGTCGTGCTGTGCTGGCACTTACAGATAAAACCCCCTCGCCGGACGCGGCCCCAACAGGCGTGCTCGCATTGCCGTAAATGCCACTGCTGGATACCTCGGTGAAGCCTAGATTGTTGGACACGGAGTACGAGACTGAGTACGAGGTAACTGTGTTTCCGAGCTCGGAGACGAGGAAGAAGTACGTCTTGTTGGTGGTGGGTGAGACGAAGAAGGCGCCGTGGCGGGGGCCGGAGCCGGGGGGTGTGGAGAAGGGGGTGCGTTGTGTGAGAATGCTTGTTGAGGGGTCTATGTATGTGGTGTTAGTTTATTACTTTGCATGTGGATGTTTTCGGGGGGTAAATATGTGGGTTTTTTTTTGGGGGGGGAGGGGTGGATGGACGAATGGATGGATGGTTGGGGGATTTTGGGCTGTGGAGGGAGGGAATCACGCAATGAATGAATGTATTTTGGACATGAACTGGACTGGATACTGAGAGGCTCATTGTATGCATGCTTACCTATGCTGAAGACGCGGATGTAATCGGCTCCCAGGTCAGGAACGACGATGAATTGGTCCGTAGGATCGACAAGGGCTTCGTGTGGATGGGGTGCGTCTTGTCTATCAGGAATCGTTCCTGGAGTCGAGAGCGTGAATTGGAGGTTTTGGAGCAGCGCAAGGCCACCTGATTTTTGGATAGTCCAGCTCGAGAGGGCAGAGCCACCACTGGTAGAACGTCAGATCAGAAGTTCTTGAAATGGGAAGAAGACACCTACTAATGGGCCACGGCTAATGCTTTGCCGCCATTGTATACAATTGAGCTCACGGGTCCACCAAGCGTCACATGCCGATCTATCTGCTTGAGGACCCCGGATCCAGGAGTCTTATATGAAGATATAGATCCATTAGGACCGGTAAGTCCCTCGTCAAGACCGTAAATAATCCCATTATACCCGTCCTTCTCTAGCCAACTCGGACTCGGCGCAGAACCATTGTTCGCCGCAATAGTAGTCAAAGAGTAGTTTCCATTCGCATCCTGACACAATGACAACGTAGTGATGGTGCCAATATAAGAAGACACATAAAGATTAACCGCAACGGACGAAGCTACAAGCCCACCAAGAGGAAGATGTTGCCAACGCATAATGTCCAAGAAACCCTCGACGGAATGCAAACACGCGAATCCAAAAGAGCGCAGGGGAGCAGGTAGATAGATATCTAGAAAGAAGGGAACTGCCCGCATTTTGTATAAAGTATCGGCCCTATGTAAAGTTACACCCATATATTTGCGCAGACGGCAAGGGAACTGGAGCTTCCCAATTGTCCGAATTGTGGGGTATTAGATTGAGTGCCGGCCGGTGTGCCTTGTCCGGTATGGGATAGATTGAGTGCAAATCTCTCCATGAGGGGGATGGACTTTGACGTGAAGGGCCAATGAAAGATATGCTTGACACAGCCTGTTAACTAGATAATGGATAATGGATAATAGGAGTTACGTTAGAGTTCGGATGAAGCAGGGGCAGGGACAGGTGCCCAGCTCGGGAGTGGGGCGGCGCTTTTATGAAGGGTCACGACAATTTATACTTTACCGTAACCTCGGATTCATTTTGTATCGGCATCGACGGATATTATGAGTTCATCCTTACCTTAAGGTCAGCTCTGCCTCATCTATACAAAATTGAGAAATACCAACATTATACAGGTAAAGATGTATACTTATATCCCTACCTGAGGTACTTATAAACAGCTAGTGCTATCTCCAAACTACCCCGCCAATCAATCTACCCCACCATGACCACTGCCAGCGCAGTCACGGCACCAATCACGCCATTCCCGTTCCTGCAGCTATCCCCGGAGCTTCGAAACGCAATCTACTCGTACGCGATAGACTGGCCGCACATCTCCGATACCTTTAACCGAATCCTGCAGAGGCTGGTGGTGAGAGCAAGATATGTACCGTCAGACAGGAGTGCGGGGTGGACCTTTGGAGATGCGAGGCAGCATGGGAGTGTGATGGAAGTTTTGTCTAGGGTAGGTTTTGGTTTGCAGTCCTGTGGTATGCAGTGTGGTTGCGCTGATTAATAGGGTAGTTGAGGGATTTTGGTGGGCGGCTTGATGTTGTTTTTGAGGGTGAGATAGATCGGCATCATAGATGGCTAAAAGGAGAGGATGAAGAGGAAACATCTGGCGCAGGGTTAGTTGTATAGTTAATTGTATAATGTTGTTAAATGAATGGGTTATATGTCAACTCTTGGAAACTGCAATTCCTATAATAGATAGAGGGATCGCGGGATAGGTAGGAATGCCACTTATAGTACTTGTAGTAACTCGCAAAGTCCGCAAGACGTTAGCAGTTAAGCATAAGAAATGTAAGGCTAACCAGGAGCCAGGCTCTCGGAAACCTTAGTATGGCTAGGTCTGCCTGTACTATATAGGACCCGAGTGGAGCGTTCTGACTCTAGGAACTTCTTTTATCTAGTCTAATAAAAAAGTCCTGCACTATATCAGCTAGCATAAAATATTGCGTATAAATATCTATACGTTTCTTAAGAAAAATACAAGACTTTATAGAATCTTAATATCTTGTAAACTGCAGTTTTTATCATAGAAATCCGAAATTCACGCTAAATTGCGCCTTTCAGACTTTGATGGTACAGTACGATACATGGTACCTAGGTACTCCATACTGCACATAATATAGCGCACGCCATTGAATTATATTCTTGATCATGATTACTACAAATCAGATTCAACAAGAGGGTTACATCTATCTTACATCATAGTAAACAGCTGCTTACAAAGCACTCACTCGCTTCCCCCCTTCAGCTTCGTCATTCGTCAACCCCTCCATATAAACGGCGATCCCTCAACTTACATCCCAATCTGTAGCAATCCCTAAAACATCACTCTTGAGTCTCGAAGAAAACAAATTTCGCAATTATGGCACCTAAAGTTTTTATGTAAGGGCACGAAATAATAAATCTTCGTACGAGCTTTGCTAACCTTAACAATAGCACAGGAGTAACAGGTTACATTGGTGGCGATGCCTTGTATGCACTTGAGAAAGCTCATCCAGAGTACGAATACACAGCTCTTGTTCGGAACCCAGATAAAGGGGCTCCAGTAGCATCTGTTTACCCCAACATTCGTCTCGTATACGGGACACTAGATGATGCAGAGCTGTTGGAGAAGGAGAGTGCAAGCGCGGACATCGTTCTACGTAAGCTTCCTGTCTTTCAATCACCTCACACACTGACAAGACCATGTATACAGACACTGCAGATTCCTCCGACCACACAGTAGCAGCGAAAGCCATCGCAAAAGGCCTCGAATCCGGCCACATCAAAGAGAAGCCCGGCTTCTGGCTCCACGTATCAGGCACCGGAATCCTGACCTGGAAAGACTTGGAAACATCGACCTTCGGCGAACCGCCCTCCCAACCCCCCTACGACGACCTCGACGACGTTGCCAGCCTGACCAGTCTCCCAGACACAGCGTTCCACCGCGACATCGACAAGCTCGTCCTAAGCAGCGCATCCGCATCCGTCAAAACGGCAATCGTATGCCCGCCCACCATCTACGGTCCTGGACGCGGGACGCAGAACCAGAGGAGTAGACAAGTGTACACTCTCGTGCAGGCAGCGCTTGAGAAAGGCCAGGCGCCACAGCTCGGCCGAGGACTCGCGGAGTGGGATAACGTGCACGTGCATGACCTCTCGGCGCTCTTCGTGCTCCTGGCCGAAGCAGCCGTTGCCAACAAGCCTGAACTCGACGCTAAGCTGTGGGGGGAGGACGGGTATTTCCTGGCGGAGAATGGACATCATGTTTGGGGCGAGATTAGTAGGGAGGTTGGGCAGGTGGCGTTTAGCAAGGGGTATATTAAGGTGAAGGAGACGAGAGTCATGGGTACTGATGAGGCGAATGAGGCTTATGGCTTCGAGGCGCTTTCTTGGGGGTTGAATTCCAGGGGCCTCGCCAAGAGGGCGAGGAAGTATTTGGGGGTGGAAGCCGGTGGGGAAGAGTTTAAAGGATGAGATTCCGGATATTGTTGATAGTGAGGCAAGGAGTTTGGGATTGACGTCTGGGTATGCGGAGAAAGCTGCTGGTGGAAAGTAAAATTGGTGACGGGTGAGTTGTGTGGAGTTTCAAAGGTCAGGTCGTAGCTTAAGGACTAGACGAATGTATTCGAAGCATTGTTTCACTATTCATACATGAACCTATCATAAAGCAAAAAAAAGCAATCCATCCACTGATCGATCCGTGCAGGGAAAAGGAAAGTGCGTACTTGTATGTATATGCGCAATCATATCTTTGTATTATATCTCTCATCTACAGTACTCATCTCTCTAGTAAGAGAGCAATGTTATTCATTAGGCCAGAACTGCACGCCGGCAGATTCGATCCATCGGATGCATGCATGCATGTATTCCAAAAAGGTGCTGTACGTAAAAATCATACACAGCACAGCATAGCACAGTTGGTATATCCTCCACTCCCTCCTTACCATGCAATCAAAGCAATTGTCTGTCATTTCCCAAACGCCCAAACGACCACGCTAAATCTAAACAAAAAAACCAAACCAAAGCAATGCATTCCTTCCTTCCTTCCTCCGCTGTAAGTGTCCTCCAACATCCTTCTGTTGTACACGGGTATTGTTGATGTTGGCCGTTATTATGTGGTGATACAGACGTAATGAAACTCCTTCGTTCATGGCGGTCCGTGCTAAGACGACGAAATGATTGCGAGTTGAGTGACAATCACTCCATCGTCTCAACATTGACCAACCAACTCCTAACCCCTTCTCTCAGGAAGGACTCCGTTTGCTCCCTCTCAGCATCATCGCCCTCCTTCCTACTCTCCTCGACCTCCTTGACGATTTCCTCTAGTGCTCCAAGCACCATCTTCTTGCACTCGTTTCGTGGGATTTCCAATTGTCGATCACTGCGGATGGGTAACTTCGCATCCGAATTCGAACGGTCACGATTCCCACCTTTACGGGATGTAGAGCGCGAAGAGCAGACTGAAGACTCCTTTGAGACTTGGCCAGACTGTGCAATGATTCGCTCGACGGCTTGAATGAGGGTTTCGTCCATGGAGATGATTGGCTCTTCTATAAAACGATCTTCAATGTGGTTCTCGTATGCTTCGGGAGCTGGTGTAAGCTGTGCGGCCGAATAAACGTTTCCATATCGCGAGTCGAGCGGGACATTAGGTGTTGAGATGTCCTTTGGCTTCACAAGTCTCCTGTAGCGGATACGCTTGATACTGAAGTTGGTGGTATCGGCAATAATGGCACTACAGACATCCACCCAACGATCTGAACGGCCGTTATCGGGAAGAGGTGTACCGCTAAACATTGGCGTTGGCTCTTCTCGCATTGACGCCTTTACCTCTTCTAGAATACCCTCCTGGACTGGAATAGCTTGTAGAGCAAAGTCGGGGTGATATCGTTGAAGCCAACCACCGACGTTGGTGGTGGTATCAAGCTCAGGGCCAGTTCGAGAGTAGTGTTCAAATCCGTCCATGCCATTTCCAAATCCAGGGGTAGATAGGTAGCCGCTGCTAGATGGCGAACTGACGGCTGTCTCAAAAGACAAATAATCCGGTAGGGGAACGTCAATATCAATAACACCATCCATCTCGTTAATTGATGTTTTTACAGGCGACTCGTAAGCCCCAGAAGGATCGGGTACCCGTAAAGAAATATGAACCACCTGTTCTGAAACTTCCCCGGGTTCATCATTTCCTGGCTTCGCGGTCTTCGAACTTCCCGAGTCAGACTTCCTCAACTCACGCTCTTGTTGCTCCCTTGTCTTAATAACTTGTGAACTGCCGACTTCTTTCACCATTTCGGCCAAACTGGCAGGCTTAGGCAGGTGATCTTTCTGAAGGGGATCGACTATTTCCACACCATCAATAGGAGGCTCAACCTCCGTAGTAGCAGTCGAACTCCGCCGCTTTGCGCTCCAAAATCCGCTAATCATACTACCCCATCGTGAATTTTGGCCCTGCGAGTCACCGCTGGTATTGCTGTACTGACCGCTACTTTCACCCCTCTTCAAAGAGAAGCGAAGCAAGTCATCAGCAGCAAAGCTACCGCTGCTACCAGGTCGTGGTCCAGGACCAGTCCCAACTCTCATTGGTCTTCTGGTGGAGAAATGCGGTATTGTCGTGACTGGTGTCGCCGTTGAAACCGTCGCAGTACTACTCTTTCGGGTGCCAAGGTCACTTCCAGGAATGGGTAGGTTCGCGGTTTTCATTGATGCAGCGTCGGATGGGCGGCGATCATGGTGGATATCTGGTGGTAAATGTGTGGGTGGTCCATGCATTGTTTGGGTAGGAAAGCTCATTGTTCGAGAATGAGCTCGAGAGGCACCAGTCCGTTTGTTTATTCTGCGACGGAGAGATTCTTCTCTCAATATTGGCACAGTATACATCGGAGGTGACTGTGAGTAGCCCCCAAAAGATGTTGAAGTGCTAGGGCGATGCAACCGGGGGGGATTCAACTGTTGGTTTGCGGGAAGAAAGGCAGACAACAGAAAGATCAGCCTCCGGGCCATCAGTTTGTTGTCTGAAACGATGATGGTGCGAGTTGGGAGAGATATGTCATCGTCCTTATTTGCTCTTTGGTGTTGGTAATGGCGACGGCGGTACCAGCTTGGGCCAAGGGCTTGAAGCCATTCGGTATGATGACCAAGGAACCCAGTCAAGAGATTGAAAAAGAAGAATCCTTCATCTTTGCTGCCTGCCCATTTGCCCACTAGTCGAGCTTCTTCACGCCAGATACCCCACCGACCTTGCCCAGTAACTACTTGATATGCTTTGAGACCGCTGGTGATACGCTGGCGGGAAATATCCACCTCTTTTTGAATGTTCAGTGCATGCATTAGACAGTTTGCTTGTAGTTGAACAAACTTGGCGTTTGTTTTTGGGATTTTGAATGGTTTGATGTCTTCCATGACCCGTTTCCCAGAAATCGAGACACTAGCAGATGGAACGCGATGGTGGGATGAAGAGTTGGCTCGAGGGTCTGGAGAGCTGACATCTGCCTGCTTGAGCAAGGGTAGAAGGGATGTTGTCGCAACAGCTTGCAAGTGTGAGAGGGTCCGCATGATAATATCCCAGTGCTGGGTAATCAAATCAATTCGATCATCAACATCGCTTGAGACTGACGAATCCAAGGAGTCCACACCAAAGCCAGTTCCCAGCATAGTCCAGCCAGCACGGCGAGCTGAGTTGAATGAAGATGGGAAGGAATCCTGCTCGGTGTAAGAGCCAGGACCTCGAAGACTAGATCTTGAGATCGGCACCGATGGAACATTGGGAGCCGCTGGTAAGTGGATTATCAGGCCAACAGCGTACATTGGCGTCCTCTTTTGCTTTGGCTGGAGCCTTTTATCAGTTGCACCATGGTCACCAATTTTGGGAAAGGGGTAACCGGCGGCGTCAGTGACCTGGACATTCTGGGTCGGTGTTCGAATTTGGGAGGCATCTTCAACATCATCCTTCGGCAGTGGTACGGGGAACATGCGTGTGATCAATACTTTTTTTCGTTCTGTACTTCTTGAAGATGGATTCGAGCTCATGAAACCCGCCGATATCGGAGCAGCTGCGAAATTATCTGACGTGAATGACTGTGCGAGTTTGCTACTCCGCATGCTTGACCTTCCAAAGGAGCCATTCGCATCCCCACCGTAGGAGCTTGATGTAAAGGGGACCCTGGATTCCGATGGGAGAATATGAACCTTGGTCCCAGTCCCTTTGTAGGCCAGAACTTCTGAATTCCCAAATATGCAATTCGAGAACGTAGTCATCTCTTCCCTGTACTCTCGCGCCGACCGTTGCCCTTCTGTCTCTGTATGACTAAGAGTCTTGTGATGCGCAGGCCTGCGATCGAAAGCACCAAAGGTTCGCGGAGCTGTAGTCTCTTGCTGGATCACCACAGGTCTTGAGTTCTGTCCTAGACTAGCCTTCCGCGGCGAGCTAATCGATCGACGGCCCTCTGCGTGTGGTTGATATGAGGTGCCATTGTTTGGAGCCTGTTGGCCCTGCGATGGAGGGGGAGGAGGAGGTGTATGAGTGTCGTAAAGAAGTTGGGCGGAGCCGGAGGTGGGGGTGGCCTCCTGCATGATGATAACTCTGACATCTCGCATGTCAAGATCAATGTCCCCGTTGATGTCGAAGTTGTTCACTGCCGCAGGAGCAAGTACTGTCCCAGATGATAGCGGGAAGACCTGGTCATTGTGGCAGAGTGCGTCGGCATCTGGGAAGAGCAGGTTGTGCGTGAATTGGTCTTCCAGATTCGAATCGAGAGGATTCTTTGATTTGGCGGTCAAGGACCCATTGGAAGGGATACCAGAGAGTAGTTTCCCAAGTAAAGACATGTCGGCGATAGATAGCTGAGGTTGCCCTCAGGAACACTATGAGCAGTGATTCCTAACAGTTTGCCTGCCAGGTGAACAGTAGCATCTTCATGGCCATTGCCGCAACGAGGAAACCCCAGGATGGTTGAGTATTTGTGGTTATGATGGCAGGTTTGGTCGAAAGCAATCGAAAGTGTCGCAGCTCGGTTTGTGTGAATCCCGTAGAACGATGAAATGGCGTAGGGTGCCTTTCGCAGTGGGGAGTTGAGATGGAATGTGGTAGACAAGTACCTACGTAGAAAAGTCGGGGCCAGTCGAGTAATACTGGTCTGGCGGCGCAACACACCCGCACTTTAGACAAGAGCGGTGTGAATAGGTGTCGACCAATGAAAACCCTTGCTGACCATTTGCTACAACAACAGCATTTACTGATAATTATTGATAGATGCGCGTTCAAATTAGGATATAAATTATAATGATAAGTTCTGAATACACAGTGCAGGAAATAATCCTTTCCAAGATTCGGTATAGCATGGAAATTTAGGTATCATTCCCTTTGTTCCAAACATCTGGGCAAATCGAAGCGGATATATACAAATCGAGTTGTGCACGGTGATTGATCATAATCCCAAATGCGATCTCTGAGTCACTGCATTTGGCGGTAAAGGTGCAGACGGTAGATTGGAGCATCGCATTGCCTCGATGTATAGTATTGGCAGGGATATACAGCCCAACATGGTAATCTCGCACATTACAGTACATGACATTACGGAGGAAGATCCCGGACACGCTCCTCGGTGGTGTACGTATTCATACGGAGTAATAGATGATCCTCGGCTTCTTCGAGAACAACAGTATCTGTAGTATCTGTACGCTTCACTTGTGGAAATTCCTTGGCTAGCATACGATGTTATGTATATTACTCCGGTGATACCTCTCGGGACGAATAGAACGGCTTGGAGGGGGTACTGATTTAGCCAGAAATGCCCGAGATGTGTTGTTGTGAGGCGTCTGCGGTAGCGAATACATCTTCACGCGTATCCCCCTCCATACAGTAGACATCGTTCTTGAGCCGAGATCATGAGGTCTGCTATTGACTGTAGATTATTGGCGCGCGACTACTTTATGCCTTTGGAGTGAGATACTTCTATCTCTTCGGTGATCTAGTGTTGCCCCGGGGGAATCTTCAGCTGGTACAGTAGGGAACGAAAGGGAAGGACTGGAATGAAGGATTAAGGATGACAAGGATGTGGCGGGGGCATCGTCACCTGGCCGGGGAACAGGCTACAGCCTTGCGCGAAGCCTTGGTGTTTTGGTCTCCTGAGACCAAAGTGATGAGCTGGCCTCGATGGCTCCGAAACTCCATCCTACTCGGTACGCCACGCCCGTATTTGTCGACGGACTTTGACGGATTTTGGTATGGTATGGTGGTGTGGCGTAGCGTGGCTTGTCGTGGCATGTCGTGGCATCTTCAAAGTTCAAGACTTCAAGAGAGCATACAGAGGCATGGTATCACGGCATATTGTAGTTATTGGACTTCATCGGCCACAGCAACAGCAAATCAAAGAAGCTAGATACAGTACTGTACCGAAGCTAATCAAGCGATACGATGGGATGAGCGGTGTCTTCCTCCTCTTCCTCCTCCTGCTTGATCCGTCAAAGTTGTCCGCATCCTTCATTCTCAACCAAAGCTCTCATCTCATACCATCTCATCGTATACCGAAAGTCGGTGAGGCTACTGTACCAGGACAAACCCCCCAAGCCACAGATGCAAGTTCACGGGATGCCTCCACGATCCGGCAGTTAGCCCCTGGTACATCTATACTTCCTTCCACACAGGCCAATCAATTGCCAGACATTGTGAGGCCACCAAGCTTTACCCGTTAAGGGCCCAATCCAGACCAAGCCAACAAGACAAACAAACCTTCGCCGTTGGATTCTTCGTGAATTACTGATAAACATGCTTGTCGCGTTACTACAGCATACTGTACTGTACAATCTGCTGTGAACCACCCCCACCCCATCCCACCTACCCCCACCGTCGAGAAGCCCTGGACCTGGCCCCTGACGTTTCCAATACCGCGTGCCCGGGTCGGCATGGTCAAAGCGATCTTGGAGATCTTTCTAGTCGGCTGGAAGTACCGGCTGGTAATGTATTTCATGTCCTTGAACCTTGACATGTTATGTGTAGTTCATTACGGATCGTTTATCATTCAAAACGCCGCGCAACAACACCCCCTTTCCCTTCTCGCTTACTGACAAGGATTAGCCCAGCCCTTTATCATGTTTACTTCGTACACAACTCTCCAGCTTGCAGTGAGAGCTCAGAAAGTATCTTTTAGATAAAGTGTCTTTTAACCTTTCCATCATCCATCCTTTCGCCTCCGGAACCCCACTCTAGCTTCCCCGTCCCGTTCGTTCGTTCGTTAAACGTTTGCACTCATTCATTGCCTGTCCATGGAAAAGCACAGTCCAACAGCGCTCGCTGCATTCATTCATTTCATTTACTCCTATACGTCCCTCACTTCCCAAGTCCCTACAAATTACTTGGTACAAAGCACGCTCTCAACTCTCTCTTTCTCTACACGCCTTCCTTCCCCACAAACCGCAGTAGAGCACCAAGTAGCCAGCATAGCAGCTATATACAGACATCCCTCTAGAATCTACAAGTTACGCGCCTCAGCATTCATATATAGGAGTCCCTTAGATATCTTTAAAATACGCCCACCCCTGTTATACTACCGTATACACGTTTCCAAAATCGCCTGCCCACCCACCCACTACCACTACCTAGGTAGGACTGCGCGTAAAATAAAATAAAGCAAGTCTTCACCAAAACCCAACTCGAATACTACCTACCCAACCTAACCTACCCATACATACATAGTACCAAGGTATGTTAAAGTTCAAGCTAAGATTAGAGTTCAGCGCCTATAGAATTACGCTTGGGCTCGGCCGAGTCTGATACGCTTAGGCATCAACACCCTCCCATAAAACGATGATCGGTGCATTTGAAGAAAGGAGGGCTTTGTTTCCGCGAGTCAGTCATTCGGTCAGCCAGTCTACTCGGCATCTTGACGAAAGAGCCGAAGCTGATATCGCAGGCAGGTTCCGAGCGGTCGGTGCGTGCCTGCCGGGGATTATAATATGCATGATTACCTATCTTTAATCTATCTATTGTTTATTCATTCGGAACCAAGAATAGGACGAGCAAGTACTTCGTCCCAGGCATAATAAACCCCCCGGCGCGGGGAGGGCGGTTATGCTAGAGGTGATTTTCTAATGCAACTCCTATTAGAAGAACCCTAGCATACCTCATGATCTGATATAGGCAAGGCTGGGTAATCGCTAGAGCGATAGCTAAGGTAAACTTAACACTTATCCTCTATATAAGCAGTAATTCTAATAAATTATAGATAGACCTGTGATTCTTGATAATAACAAGTTAGAGAGTACTAATACGGAGCCTGAAACCGCATCTAGCGAAGACGGCATAAACAGTGCTATATAAGTTATAAGCTTAGATAACACCTACTAATATGCCATTTAGACCGCCGCTAAGCCGTTAGGGGATAAGAATAATACAACCGGTTATTATATTATTTGATAGATGTTAAAAATACCTAATAGTCTACCCAAAGCTTTGGGTAAAGATAGTCGTCAGGATCCGATCACGTAGAGACCAGTTCTAGTACTAAAGGAGCTGAGCGGATAAAGGAGAGATATAAGTAGAGCTTTCTCTCTTCTCTTTCTCTCTTTCTCCTTGATTAATCTATGCCCTTTTTACTTCTACTGCTTAGTTCCTATATTCTGTCACAGCTCACAATAAGGAACCAGCGAGAGGTTGGACACAGGAGATAGAAAAGACCTTGCATCAAAGTTAAATAAGAGCGGTATCTAGGGAACCGAAATTGTTTAGAGGAGTTCTTATTTTCTTGAGCTATCAGCAAGCCAAACCTAGAAGTATATCAATACACAACAACTCCCCAACAGCATGATGTTAATCAATGTAGCCAATATTCTCTTTCAACTTGATTTTGCTTCTAATTCCTATTCATTTTCTGCAATCTATCCTACCCCCATGCTGATTGCCGCTGCCCCTTGTCCACCACTGATATGAGTTGTGAAGAGCTGTCTAGAATGTCGGTTCTTACATAGCTGGAGTGTCTTGGTACGGCCAAAGTTTCTCGGCGAGAAGCCTGTCTTCCTCATTATCAGCAGCATTAATGAAGGCATCTTTCATCTGCGCCAGTTCAATCTGCATTTCGTCGAACCTGCTCGGCTCTATTGATCCATTTGGAGACAACCCCCAATTCTTTCGAAAAATATTCAGGACATCGCTAACATACCCCCTATTTTCTTCTTCATGCCTATACAGAGCCATTTCCTGATCACTAAAGTTCACGGGGCATGGGCCAGAACTTGGGTGAAGGACGTCCCACCCACTGGCAATTCTGATCAGCGCTCGTCGAAGGAAGAATACATCACGATCTTCCCATACGCTTTGGACAATGCGGATTGGGTCTATTTGTGCTTGATCGCGTGATTGAAGTGCGGCCCAGTGGCGTGGGTTTCTATTTTGTGTGATTGCGAGATAATATTTGTGAAGAGTCTCGCTTTTTATAAGGTTACTAACCTCCTCCTTTTCGTCCTGATCAAGGCTACTATAATTCTCCGGGTATGTTGGCCAAGTATCTATATTATCAGAAACTGGCCCTTGATGCTTGAACATTGTTGGGACGCCACATTGATAAAAGAGCGGTAGTGCTGTAGCTGCCTGCCAGTCGATTATCCGCGTAATTTTCTTTGATTCGGGATCAACGAAAACATTATTAAGGTGGAGGTCTGGATGCCATAGTGTTGATGACTGTGTATCATCTGACGTCGGAGGAGGTATCATCGCTGAAGTAAGTTGAAGATACCGAGCCAAGAGAGCAAGCATATCCTCAGGTAGCTCAGGTTTAGTAAGGGAGCGAGCATAATTCATCCGCGGATGGCCACACGCCTTAATGAATTTAACTTCACTCTTAGCCATCGCTTCAACAAATTCAAGTGGTTTGCTATCTATAATGCATTAGATTAAGGAAGATCGTATCAATTATAGGACGACTTACATGGTCCTCGACTTAAGTCCATAAAGGCTTTTGGCCCCCGCCACATCGTACTCTCAACTAGTGGTCCTACTGTAAAGCGTTGGGCAGCCGATGAGGGTAGTGAAGGCGTAGTCACTAGGACATCGCCGGCTGGAAAGTCTTCTCTAAAATAGATACAACCAGACTTCTCGAGCTTCGTGGAAGCAAGCTTGCATTCAATTTCCACAATTTGCTCTATGATATTGTATCGGGGCTCAATTGGCAAATCATTCCAGTCTTGCCAAAGCCTTCCAAGAGGCTTGCCCGGGGCAATTTCCTCTAAGATATACTCTGCCCCGATTGGATTGTTGCGATCAGTAGACCAGGCAAGTATACGAGGAATTGGAATTTCCAACACATCCCGTAGCTAGTATCGCTCGAATCAGATCTCTGTATTAGGTCAATCAGCAAAATACTTACGAATACACGTGTAGCCACTTCGGATGCTGTGGTGTAAAATTCTGGCCCTGCGCATGGGTTTGGCAGCTTAGCAAAGACCACCAAGCCGTTATCCATCGTGAGCAGGTACGCTTTATTATTTAAACCTTCTTTGCATTTAAGAACTTCAGTGCCTACAATGTAAGTTAGGCAAAATGTGAGTCGTAGAAAGGTAAGAAAGTATAATAATGGCATACATTTGAGAGCACCGTGATCAGAAACTGCAGCTACAGCAACCCGTATAAGCTGTTGTAGGTCAAACCTGAGATATCTCTCTGAGAGATTGTACGATTCATTGAATCTATATCAAATTAGCAGTCGTTTCTACTATAACAATAAAACGTACAGCCAGCGGTGCCTCGTGTAACGATATAAATCTTCCTCCAAGATGTCCTCGACTAACTCGGTCAGTATCTGAGAAAAATATAGGTGAAAACTACACACTATTGCCGTCATTTCTCACGCCACAAAGTCGTGGCAGAGAGATAATGTCGCGGGTACTGTGCCCGCGGGGACAATTTGCAAGCTTTGTGAAGATGGAAGGTCGAGTCTCATGAACCTTGGCAAAGTAAATCGACGAAACAAGGGACAACGTCCTAGAAGAAGGGGCATAGTTTTCCTTTGTACTAAATGAATGACTCCAGAGTTCCAGTGTGATGCACGAAACAGATTGGCCAGCAGTCGCCTACGGAAGTAATGATTTGACCCTAGGTAGCTTTCGCTACAGTTCCCGGATATCGCGTCAAAAGCGACAAGTCTGGCGCGTAGACATCAGCGCTAAGCCTGATCCATGTGAGTTAATGATGATACGAAAGCTTCACAAGATTCCAGGCAGATCCTTAGATGTTAAACTAAGAAGGTTTCCATTACTAATAGCACCATTAAATTTCTCTTACAAGTATTGTCAATTGCCAATTTGAATAGCACTGCGTGATTTGGCTTGCCGCAGGTAATGTGGTTTACACGTGACATATACACCGTAACAGTAAGCTTTATAGCTTTTATAGTTATTATTTTTAAATTTTCTCTTAAATGATACTTAGCTTTTTAGTATACTTATAGAAGTATCCTTAAAATATCTAGCTTTTATTCTGCCAATGCTTTTTTATAATACAAGTAGGGTTTTACTTCGTTTTTGCTTTTTTTGTAATCTAGGTTTTTGTTTGTTTACTTTCTAGCTGTAACCTACGTTTTATCTGTCTATAAAATCTAGTACTATTGCTCTATTGTCTAGTAGCTAATATGGGTTAATAAAAAGACGTTGCTTTGAAATTTCAATATTGATTTTACTAATTCTTATCGCCTTCTTTCTTGCTATCTGTATATCGGTAATACAAAGTAAGCAATTAACAAGACTATTAATTCTACGCCGTACCAATGCCGCCCCTAGCCCGAGTCCCAGTCCCATTTCTGTTTCCAAAGACAAAGTACGCCGCGCTAAGTATTAAACGGTTCATGTGAAGTCGTGTACTGTGTCGCTATTAGCGATGATGATGTCGCTGATAGCGATGATAATGTGAGCCTTTGATTCAAGACCGTCTCAATCCTCCTCTAAAGGTGCCATCATCGGACTCTTCAACCTGGTCGGACTACCCGTCCTAGACCTCCTACCCATCTGCAAACGCTCTCTACTCTCCGTCCTCACAATCAACCCACTCCTGTCCATCGCATTCGCGCCTATCAATCCCAACCCCACACCCCCTTGAACAGGCGCAGGATCGAAATAGGTCGCGCTGTCGAAATTGACCACATTCAGCCTCGGCGTCATCATTCCACTTGCTCTCCCAACTCTTGATCCCTCGCTGCCATCCGAAGCCTCATTTTCATCACTGTCCGCTTCGCCGAGTTCGAATTCGTTTGCTGCAACGCCGTCTTCAAGAACACGTTCGTAATTCCCTGAACTACGACCAAACAGCTTTCCAGTTGCTGTTCCAAAAAATCCGCGCCCCCCTTTGCGAGGACTTCCGGGTCTGCGATTCCGACGAAGTGTGGCAGACACGCCACGTACGAACCGCATTCTTCTTTCCCGTTTCCGGAATACGTAGCCGATGAAGATGAGGATTAGCATAAAAAGCAAGAACCCCGGGCCAGATCGTGTGTGAGCTTTCTCTGCCAAATCTTCAGCTGCTTCAGTCCAACTGTCTTCATCTCCGATAGGCACGGGGAAGGAATTTGATCCTGCTTCTTGAAAGTCGGGGGGTATGCCGAGGGTATTGGCGCCGAAGCCGACAGGAAGGGCTTCGGTGTGCGAGGGGGGTATTTGACCAGCGGCGTAGAGGACCATTTTCCCCAATGTCCAGCTTACTTCCATATCTCGGATTTTGTTGACGGCTTGGAAAGGATCGAGGAAGCCTTTGTCTTTGTGTGTAGCTAATTCTTTCGAGGCATTGTATCCTGCACCGTGTGTAGGTTTATCGAGGCCATGTTTAGGGACTCCGATTCCCTCATGGAGAACGTTGATTAGCCATGAAGCTTTGAAGCATACTTCTTGTGCAGTCTTCTCGTTCACTTTGTGTCCCCATTCTTCAGCCTCAACACCAGTCTTGATATCATCCCATTCTGCAGCACAGAAATCCTTGACCATCTTTTCGTATGCTGTGAAATCGTATGCTGCATCTTTATGTGCCATCTCAAAGACTTCGTGGGTTGTGTGCCAATACTCGGAGACTCCAACGAAATGGTTGACGTCGAAATCGATCGCTGGAACATGTTGGCCATGTAGTAAACACGGTTGATCCGCACAAGGAGCATCTTTGTCGAGAAGAGGCGCTACTTGGTCCACACACTCCTTAAATCGCCCGGTACCAACCAAGACTGGAGCATCACCTCGAGCGCTGTCAAGCGGAAGTCCTTCCAATGTGGTAATCAGTCCACTAGGTAAACATGGATCCAGTAGCTCGTGAGACCCTTTATACATATCCTGTATCGCTTCCACGTATCGTTGCCTAGCTTGATTGACTCCGAATCCTAGCCACGTCGTGGTGAAGACTTTGTATTCCGTCGACTCCCCATTCAACGTCCGCATCCGCAGTAACTTGAGATCATTCGCATGCTTCTCAGCCTCGGTGCTATTCGGAGCGAACGCAATCTGTGCTGAAGCACCTCCCATATCCAAAAACCCATACGTATGGTGATTATCGCCATGTTTATGATCTTCCGGCGAGTTGAAACTCCCCAGCAAATAATTCGCCGCAATCCACCCATACAGCCCTTCCGTCTCTCCCGGAATAACCTGAATGTGTAAATCGCAATCCGGCAACGAGAAGTTGGTATGAGCCTGCGCATAAGCACAAATCTCCCCTAGCAAGGCCTTTTGCTTCATCGGTTCCAACAGCCGGACACCCGCTGTCGCCATGAGGAAAATCGGCGTGTCCTTGACCTGATCACTCGGCACAATGGAGAGAGCATGGTCGAGTAGATCTTGTAGATACGGGCCGACTTCTGACGGGTTGTCACCGAATGTCGATACGCCGGGCTTCGTTTTGTAGGTATAGTTCTTCTTCTGGTGTATGTCGGGCAGGCTTAGCATTTCGTGTGGTGAAGCATCTTGTCGTGCGCGCGCGCTGTTCAACCAGCGGTAGACATGGACTCGAGTTCCTGATGATCCGGCGTCCAGGATCACACCCCATCGCCCTGTGAATGAGATTAGAGATGTCGAGGGGGGAGGGAAAGAAGAGGGAGGTAGCGAGGGAGACATACATTTACCCATTAGTAAGACGGGTGGTGGGTGTCGGGCGAGGGTGGATTAATCAATGACCGTTGACGGTTGAGGCTGTCTATAAATGTAGCTTTGATGTTTGCAAAGGCATTGATCGAGTCTCGTCGGCGGTTGGTCGCGATGTAACGAATGTGATTGTCGCGAGGACTCGGATATGTGGAAGACTATTGAAAGACTGGCGAATTGATAATTGATATGTTGGATATGTAGAGAGGTGGGAAAAACGAATGTGGTGTTTTAAGTGAGGGTGAGGGTGAGGTGAGGGTGTTGATGCATGCGTATCTTCCTTCCTTCCTCCGTTCCTTCTTCCGTTCACTCCAAAAGTTACTCTTGGCGTAACCTTACAGAGTACGAAGCTTGGCCTGAAGTGGTTTGGCGTGGCGTTGAACGAGATAAGGTCAGCCACTAGATCCTGATTGGGTTTAGTGGCAGCCCCTGTTTCTGGGGGACAAGAACTGATTTTTGATTCACGATATGATATTTGATAAAGTGTGATTGTCTGTCTTGTGTTACTATTCCGGGACTCGGGATAGGTAACAGACAAACAATTGTGGAAGATTACGAGGCTAATAAACTCGTGATACAGGCAAAAGTATGAAGTGGAGTGGAGCTGCCTCGTATTGATTTTACGAATGGCCGAAGTTTAAGGCCAGATGACGTTTCCCATGTGAAAAACAGATTTCATCACTGATAATGCAATGCAATGGGGTTGGGGTATAAAGAGATAAGGGGAACAATACGAGAGAATACAATCCGAATCCGAATCAATAATACCATCCCTTCCATACACACACGAAATACACTCAGCGCGCAGTAGAGGATCTCATCCATCTTCATCTTCATCTCAGAGGAAGAGTTGTTGTGCTGACACGCCGTTGTTTCAGCCCCATATCTTCCTTCGTTCAGCCTTCTCTCCTTCTCTTATATTATTTCCTCCAATGTTAATTCTTTCACGTCAGTCTCACAACGGCTGTCACTCCCCTTCCCCCCTCCCCCCGACAAAGGCGTGCGTTATGTTCATTACTCCTGAAACAACACCACGCCACGCCATATAATATATACATCAGATAAGAACGCCATATCAATCATCTTCCCCATATTCTTCTTCCCCATTACTCCGTATATTACAGTGGTGCTATATGGAGTATCAATGCGTTCGTTCGTTCACTCCATCCGGATCTGAAGATCAAACGGTATGACGAACATCAATGACGATCCCAACCCAATGCGGGTGGAGAAGTGTTCAAGTGGACATCCAATTTGCAAGTGCACAACAACACCACAGAAATGCGAGTATATACATACCTACACTCAGCTTTCTCCTAGATCAACCCCGAGGAAAATCAATCAATAGTTCAAGCAGAATGCCGCCCCAGGAATTAATTTAACAGATAAGTATGTAAAATCACGTGATTAACATCTCTCTTTTTATCCATTCGCACTTCTTTCTTTCCTTAAAATACTTCTACCTATCTGTCGGGATATAAGTGGTCATTGTGAGAGCCTTTCTAGTTATGTGACTTAGTATAGCTTAGTTGAGCAAAGGAGGCTTTTTGATGTCAGAAGAAAGACAGCTCTCTTTCTAAATGCAAAGCACTTTCTTGATTTTGATACTATAGCAGTTGTTCTCAACGTATTATCAGCCAAGGTGCTGCTGTCAAGAATCTACATGACATCTCTTTCTTCAACGCGCACGAAGTAAGATACCTTAGAAACCTAAAGTAAGTAAGCAAGCGTGTTCTTCCCATCGTGCTGAATATGCTTACTGCGCACTTGAATTATTTTCGGTTTATCACTTCCTTTATTAAGAACCTTTTTGCCCTTTTCGTAGGCTTAGCTAGACGGGTCTTCATTTCTATCTATCTGCCTCTACTTATAGGAGGGAACAATAAACTAAACCCACATAGATGGTCCTTCCTTTTCTCAGCTTAATACTCATTTCATAGCTACTACTAAACATCCTTGAACATATTTCTACGGTATGCCAAGTAGTGCCAATCAAGACAACGCATGTATAAACGTTAATATGATCCTAAACGGGTATGTCAACAAGTCATCTAGTAAATGACTAGGTAAATAAACATGACACCCTACAAGGTACTTATTAAAGGAGTCCCACTTCGTACTCACTAAACTCCCATACCCTTAAGTCTTATTCCACAACGATGGCATCCACCATAAATCCAAGCCTTTTAAATCAATATCCTCATTATTGTATAACCTGCACAACACCTGAATCCAACTCTTCAAATAATGTGATATACTGCACTTTCTGCCACTCAGCACCATACTGCTCAATAGAGTGCATTTGATCAAGACTCACGAGGACTTGCGATGTCACCTACCTTAAGATAAACATCTCCCGCAAGTCATGCCCAAGACCCTCATCGACAGCTTTAGGGTATACGGCAGAATTATCAACATCGCTATCACCAATGCCACTATTAATAACGACTTCGAAAATTATCTGATTAGGGCGGAGAATGCTCAGGTTCTCGTCTCTGGTGTTGTTTGGAGGCTATTGACTGCATGGTGGGGTTTGAAACAGAGGAAAGCGTGCCAGGACACTGGGAGCTTAGTCTTAATGTTTACCATGAGTGGCTTTGTTATGGACAATTTATTCGCACCCTCCGCATCTTTGCGGAGAAGATCTTGAAAAATGATTGTGATGCCTGAGTCAGTTGCTATAGAAATGGCAAAGCAGCGTCCTAAATATCATGGTAATTAAATTGGTTGAGGACGATAGCAAGAACTATCATATCTGGGAACAGTAATGTATTAATGGTTCAATTCACAAAACATATGTGAGCAAAATAAGAAGCGCAAGAAAAGGTAGAGAAACTAATAATTATAAGATGCATAAGCCCAAAGAATCAAAATGAAGTGTTAAAGAACAATCAAGATACTACTTGTGCTATTTTGCCGCATTTGGAAAAACATGAAAGGGGGGGAGTTTCTCGGCTGGCTTGTGGGGCGACAAATGGACCCCGCGCTAAAAATCAACAGCGTCACCAAATGAAAAGCAGTACTCTGTCACCCCACCATCCACACCACCTCTCCTCTGCCCATCTCGCAACCTCACCACAATGATATAAAACAGCAATATCACACATGCGAATAACACCCTCCCTTCTCATCCGCTCCAATCTGACAAAAATGGCACTTCATCCGCCCCAAAAAGCAGATAAACTAATATGTAAGCCCAACTAACTGAGTACCAATTTACCCCTCCACCCCCTTGATCCAACTAACATTGTTATACAGTCGCACCAGCAAATGACCAAACAAACTCCCAAGCGGACCAATACACAAAAGGCGCACTCGAACGCTCACAGCTAGACCCTTCCCCCTTCACCCAATTCCACAGCTGGTTCACGCACGCCCAAGCGAACGGCGTGCATCAGCCCGAGACCGTATGCCTCTCTACCGCCTCTCTGCCCTCAGGCCGCGTGTCAGGTCGCATGGTGTACCTGAAAGAACTAGACAGCACGGGCTTCGTGATCTACAGCAATTTCGAAACGAGCAAGAAAGCGCGAGATGTCGAGGGAAATAAATGGGCAAGTTTGACGTTCTGGTGGAGGGAGCTGGAGAGGCAGGTCAGGGTTGAGGGGACAGTGGAACGGCTGAGTAGCGAGGAGAGCCAGGTTTATTTTGACACGAGGATTCACGGAAGTCGGGTCGGCGCGTGGGCCAGTCGCCAGTCGCAGGTTATCGCGGACAGAAGCGTGCTTGAGGACTGGGTGGGGAAGGCGGAGAAGCGGTTTGAGGGCGAGGAACGAATACCCGTGCCGGAGCATTGGGGCGGTCTGAGGGTGAAGCCCGTAGAGGTAGAGTTTTGGCAGGGGAGGCAGAGTCGGTTGCATGATCGGTTCGCGTATAGGAAAGGGGAAGGTAAGGATGGGCATGGGGATGGGGAGTGGACAATTGATAGGTTAAGCCCGTAACCCAGCACTCTGGGTCGATCTGCGTTACTCGTTTATATGCCAATGAGCCATAGCATCCTTGCCAGAGCGTGTTCTCCGTAGCGCCTGTAATGCTTGCAATAATGAATGTGACTTGCGAAATCGCACTCTGCCTTGACCATTTTGGAATCCGGATGGCCTTTTGTCAAAGTCGGTCGCTTTCGCATATACAAAATAAGCACGAGTACGAGCTCTCGCATTCTCTTTTAAGTCTGACACTCCCCACTACTTGACGTGATCGATAGAATCCTACGTTTATAAGTAGCTCCTTACATCTGTATCCTAGTATAAATCCCTAGATCAGCAAGAAGTATGCCTAATAGCCAAACGGATTTCAACGTAAGAATTCCCAGGTGTTTTGAGTTAGAGCCCGAATCTAAATCCATTAAGTGGCAATTGCCAGGCGAATATTGGTGATTAAAAGAGTGAGACAAAGCGACTATCTTTCAAAACAATTAACTTTGATTGCGACGATTTCGCAAAAAGTTGTTGAAAGTAGTTAGTCAAGTAGTTATTTGCGAAAGTCTACCCAAGTAGTAGTAGACCTAGAGAGCGAACGGGCCATGGAGGATCGGGGATATCGCGAAACCTTACTATTTTTGGCCATGCTGCCGTCGGCCGGGTGGACTCGTAAATCATCCAAACAGAGACCACGACCCAGAGGGTCATTGGTTCAATATGTACCTTAAGAATGAATAATAATTAATGGGCACTTGAGTATATGGGGGAAAAGGCAAAGCGTATGGCTGTCGCACTTTATCAGGTGGTTGATTAGCGCAAAGCTACGTACTTGCAGCGCATCCGTATGCGAGTCGTGTGTCTTGAGACATACGGTCGGTATAAGGCGGTTGAGAGACTTAACTTCTTTAGGTTTCAACCCGCGAGCTTCGTTAGCCTTGCTTTGGTTGCCCTCTTGGAGAGTATTAATCGACATTTTGTTGTACGAAGTAGAACATCGTATGGTATCGTGTCGGATCGCGAATAAATATAAGTATAAGATGTCCGCCCATTTAATATCTCTTGAACATCCAATATATCCTTCCAAAACCCGTTCTGTTCTACTCTGTTCTGTCTCAAGCCTTGAAAGCAATCCCATCATCTTTCAAACACAGAGCAAAGAAAATACAGAAATGTCTTCTCATCCTCCCACCACCCGAACCCATGAAAAACAAACCTCGATAAGCCAAATTTCAGAACTGGCTTCTGAAATCCAGAAATATGCCATCGAATTAGAGAAAAACCTCAAATCGTCCACGCCCTGTTTCGCATTCGGCGCGTTTTCTTCTCCAGAGCTAAACTCACCTCCTGCTCTCCACCAATGGCCTCAACAAGAAGGAAAACGGGTAAAGCAAAGAAGTGGTGGAGCTGGCTCTGGACCTGCAAGTTGAATGGGAATATAGCATGTCAAGGAGAGGGGAGAGATGCCGAGGAAGACCAGGACTCGGAAGAGGCGGATCGGTCGCTTTTAGCACCATGTGTGGTGTGTAACTGAGCCGGGCCAGCCAGCTGGGACAGCTACCACGTGGGAACCGATAGGGATGTGTATTTGCTGGGGAACTTGGGAATAATCGAGTGGGAGTCCTGGCATGAACTGGTAGCATCTCGCCCTAGGATCGTACATAGGAGCAGAGAAACCATGGCATTTTTCGTGGCGTATAGGAGAATTCTTAGTTAGAAAGGATAGATGGTTTGTTTGGTAATAGATAATGAATGGGTGGGCGAAAGGGATAGGAAATCAAAAGTTTGTATTACATGACAATATCTTGCCCTTCAATCATAGCATGAAGTCGTTGACAGTAATGGGTGATCATGTTGACAGCTATGCCAACTGATATCATAGTATTATGATATATTAACAATTATACATGCTACATATTAACATATAATTACATACTATACGTAGGAGACTTGGAATAAAAGGAATGGGCAAACGGAAAGTTGCATGCAGACAGATCACGGTGACAGAAAGTGTTGTCTATTGTTAACTCCGAACCCCTGACTTAGCGCCAGACGGCGGTACGTATTTCGGCTGTTGACATACAGTGTAACCTTGCCTTATTGTGTGCATCCTGGCTTGGTGGTGTCCTCTTCAACATCTCCAGCGCAAACACCACCGCAATAATGGCAACAACTTTCTTTCATCCCCGTCGGGTGGCACTCCTGCTCCTCGTCGCAGTCGCGTTTGTCTACGCAGAGAAACATGCCGCGTCAATTGCATCCATGAGCATCCCTGAAATTGAGGACAAGCTTCAGGTGAGACACGAGAACACGCGCCCCCCTCCACTTTCGGAACCGCACTGACAGACATGCCATCCTAGGAATGCCCCCTGGTGCAAGACCTCAATAACTACAAAGTCGCGACCTCTCCTCAAACCTCGACCCTAACTTCCCGCATCTTTGCAGTGCTATTCCCCGGAACCCCAGCCGTCAATGCCCTTCTCGCGACCCTGTATATCTCGGGCCCGCCGAACTTCCTCCTCGCGCTATGTCCTCCGAACATCGACCCCGCCTCCCTCTCGGTGATGGTCGCGTTCGCCGTGGGAGGTCTGCTGGGTGACACGCTGTTTCATCTTCTACCCGAGATATTCCTGGGCGAGGATGCGCCTGAACATGTACGCTTCGTGCTGGTTGAGCCGAACAAGAACTTGTTGCTTGGGGTTGCCATTATGGTGGGATTCGTCACGTTTGTTGCTATGGACAAGGGACTCCGGATTGCGACTGGGGGAGAAGGCGGTCATGATCATTCTCATGCAGTCGTGGAGGTTGTCAAACCAGCTGCCATTACCAGTGGGATGGAAACTTCCCCTTCAAAGAGCACGCGATCACGGAAGAAGGAAAGCGGCAAATATGGGCAAGCATCTTTGGAGCTGGAGAAGGAGAAGGAGAAGGAGAAGGAGAAGGAGAAGGAGAAGGAGAAGGAGAAGGAGAAGGATATCAATGCTAGCGTAAAGCTGGCTGGGTACTTGAACTTGATGTAAAGCTCTCGAAACCTCCACTTTGAGCAGCGACTAATGTTTTGCAGTGCCGATTTCACGCATAACATCACCGATGGACTTGCCATGGCATCTTCATTTTATGCTTCACCCACCATTGGCGCAACAACTACCGTCGCAGTATTCTTCCATGAAATCCCCCACGAAGTGGGCGACTTTGCACTCCTGATTCAATCCGGATTCTCGAAACGCGCTGCAATGGGCGCACAGTTTCTGACCGCCTTGGGAGCTCTACTAGGTACCGCCATAGGTATCGCAGTCCAAGAATACGGCGGTAATAGCAGCCAAGGGCCGGATGGTCGATTTGATGGTCTTTTCGGTACAAGCTTGACGTGGGGTGACATGCTTCTTCCCTTTACTGCAGGCACGTTCCTATACGTCGGCACCGTGGCAGTCATTCCGGAATTACTAGAGACGGGTAAGGACAGAGGGGCTGAATTGAAGAAGACCGCTCAACAATTTGCCGCTATGGCTACAGGAGCTGGAATTATGCTCTAGTACGTATCCTTCTAGCCCGGATTCGGACCATCTCGCTAACAAACATGCAGCATTTCTTGGTCATAGATGAGTATTGTATAAGTCCAAGATTACATAATCGATGGTGGATGGCGGGGTTGTACAGCATATGAAAAGTCTTTGTATTAAAAGTGCATGAAATCGCAATGTTAGGGCACTAGGCCGCTTGTATATTACACCAACCATGGTGATCTGATCGGTATTCCCTCTCATTAGTTGCAGTTCATGAGACTTCGGGAAAGATAGTTAGTACTAGACGTCATATGACTTACCTCGAGCTACCCCCTTTCAAGGCTTGGGGACGTAACTGGGACCTGTGAATGTTCACTCCTCGCATGCCATCTCGATACCCTTCCGTGTCGCCATTTTCTCAAGTCGGATGATAGCTAGACACTACCTCTTGTAACTTCGTAGTTATTATTTGGATGCAATTCTAAAAATCCATGTCCGAGCAATGCAATCCCTAACGCCCCATCATATATTCATCAAAACCAACAAGTATATCAATCCAGGCTCTGAGCCAAAGCAATGACACTGAATCTCAACTCCCCACCACCAGCCGCCTCCTCCCTCGCTAAGAACTTCTTCACACCAAGCTCAAGAGCCTTCTCACTCAATACATCCTCATCCACGCCCAGTGCCCCCCTATTCAGCGGCCCCTTCCTCCTCCCATCTAGCTCCCACAAATTGCTCTTCTCGTCCTTCACGAAACACACATAGTGCAAGTCGATGTTATCCTCGGCAGCCGGAGCCACACTATCTCCCTGTGTGGCCGCACTCTGGTGCGCACTCTCCAGGGCCTGCGAGTTGTATAGCAAATCGGCTCGCTGGGCTGGAGCCAGGGGTATAGCATCTTTGACTAGTTTATGGAGATCCGAGTCCGGCTCTACACAATCCCCATCATCAAAAATCAGCATACTCCACTCCACTCCACTTGTACAATCATGACCGACCGAGCAAGACGAGACAAGACAAGCTAAATAGGGATCACTCACCGATAAAATTCGTCGCCAATCCATTACTCAGCGCATGCAAGATACCAATCAACCCACACGCATTCCGGATCGTCTGCTTATACCATACGACAGGCTCGCCCTCGCCCTTGCCCTCGTATTCCGGCTTTTCTTTATCTTCGTCCATGCGCGATGTCTCGTACGAGGCGCTGACGGGGAAGACGAGCAGGAGCGCGGCTGCGGGGCGGGGCACGAAGGCCAGCATGTCGGGGTCGCTGATGCTGTAGACGTCGTGGAAGGAGAGGGCGGGGGAGAGGCCGAGCTTGTGGACTAGGGAGGTCATTACTTCGGGGTTGTTCTCTAGATGGGTATGTCAGTGTGTTATCCATTGCCCGGGATTTGGGGGGAGCTATACCGAGAGGCACGAAGGCCTTTCGAGTCTTGGGAACATCTGGGTGGTTTGTTTGAGGGTTGGGTTTTGTTGCTTCTGCCATGTTGGGTAGATAGATATCTGAAAAGCTGAACAAGAGGTTTATTAGAAGACAGAGGCGAGAGGAATGGTACGTCTTCTCTTGTATAAAGATTTTATTTAAAGGTAGAAGGAGCTACCCCGCGGTCGGTAGAACAATATTCCGATCCGATCCTGTTTTCGATATAATAACTTTATAATTCCAAAATCGCTTATACTAGAAATGTAAATATGATTGCCAGCGCTAGTATCTACTTTCTCCTCTGATGTGTGATTTAAAATTAGTATATTAATACATAAACAGAAGATATAAGGTTTAAATATTATAAATAAGAATTAAAAGAGTTTTAAAATATATAATAAACTTATAAAAAGTATATAATTAAAAGATAGCTCTTTTTAATCTCTGAGAACTATATATATTATATAAAAGATATCTTAAACAGATAATTAAAACAGCTGATCTATAAGGCTAATATTGTATTTTTAGCTTATATAAACTTTAAATATAGTATTTTAAAAATATATTTTAATTATAATTATTATT